CCATTGTCCAAGGAATCTGGATAGTTGATTATCCCCAGGAAATTTTAGATCGAATAAGTGCTTGGATGCATACATCACATCAACGTTGTCGGCACTCCGGAAGCTGTCGACGATCAACGCTAACATTTCTCGTCCTTTGACCATTCCAGGAGTTGTGCCTCTCGCACGCCTCTGCATCATCTGCCTCACCTTCAGTTGTACGTCATGAGATCTCTCGCCTGCTGCGTGGATGATCGTATGTAGGGTGATACCTAGCTTAGCGTCTATGCTAGCGAATCTTGCTTCGCCTGATGTCTCGAGCAGAGATGGGTCATATGGTGATCTGAAGGCATCTGAGAGCCACTGGATCCAGTCTTCCTGTCTTTCGTCGCCCGATGCCGTCACGACTGCCGCTACAACCTGGGATTTCCAAACCTCCAAGTCGTGTATCTTTGGCCATGCAGGGATGTTGATCTTCTCGTGTTGCTTCCGAGATATCTTGGAGCCACCCGAGCTAGAGGATGAAGCGGCACCATGTTCGGTTGCGGCTGCGTTCTCTGCATTCAAGCGCTCCTCTTCGTACCTCCTCCGGTACTTGTTCCTCTCATCTCTGAGCCGTGCTGCATGCGCTTCGTATTCCATCATGTCCTGTTGGTTCTGCATCATACCTTCGTAGTACTGCATTGCCTCCTTCTCCTCGGACCTTAATGACTTCTCGGTACGTCCAAGTTCCGCTCTAAGCTTGGTCATCACCTCATTCTCCACATTGGGTTCTGATCCCATGTCTGGTGGTTTCAACGTCAGTGCGACCTTCAATTGTGCTTCACTTGCGCTTGATTCGATCAGTTCTTCCTGAAGACGATTCAGCATCCTCTCTTTCCGTAGAATGTCTTCTTCCAACATGTTCATCTTGACTTCAGCTTTCTTGAGTTCGACGTTGGATGGTTGAGACAGTCGATCGGATCCTTGAATCCTCGCCTGCGTCAACTCCTCGTTCGCCCTCTTCAATTGCTCCCTGATGGTCATGATGAAGTTGTCCTGATTACAAGATTGGTTGCTGAGCTCCTCATTCTCTTCTGATAACCATTTGATCTTGCTTGTATACATTGCTTCCTTCATCTTCATCTCCTCAGCATATTCGTGTTTGTTCCTGGCACTCTGCCTTTGTAGTCCAACTAACTCTTGTCTATACAGATCCCTAATGTTCTCAGCATCTGCGACTGCAGTCATGACCTCGGTTACGGCTCGATCTCTTTGCGCCGATATAGCCTGGATCTCTTCCGTGCCGATGCTCACAACTTGGCTAACCATCTCTGCGCTGTTGCGATCAGCGTACTCCCCTAACTGGGTGAGACGATCCCGCATTGCCACACGATCAGTGTCAATCTGGTATTGCAAATCGTGTGCTGCTGAGAGCAAGCAGTCTCTGGATTCTGTAAGTTGGGAGATTCTTCGTTGATTTCCATATCCTTCGACATAACATTCTTCGAGGTGTGCCATCACTACTTCGTGGACTTCGGTCTCGTGTTGTATAATCTGGTTCTGTCTCTGCTCACATTCGACCATCCATGCGTTCTGGTGGTTCAACATATGCACTTCGGCAAGTAGTTGCGCACACTTCGCACTCAGGTCTCCATCGGCCCGTGCTAGTTGTAGGTTGTCAGTGCTTGCCCTTGCTCCATCTCCAGCCTCGCTGTCCGACGGCACTGGTACAGTTGACCCATCCTCCAATGCTAGCACTCTCACAGCTCCGGTGTCAGTCCTCCTCCTCGTCTCTCTAGGGCTACGGCCTGATCTTGGTGTCCCCCCCGGTGGTGTCGATTGCGCTGACGGGGAACGACTTCGCGCTCTACCTGTCGCACCTTCTCTCACCACTGTCAGAGTCTCCGCTTCGATCGTACCTGGACTAGAGTTGTGGGATGCACTCATCCGATCTGCGGCCGCAGCAGCTGCTCCAAAGGATGCAGTGCTGGCGTCGGATTGTTCCATCTTCAGTGACTGAGGGTAACTGATCTATCCGATGCGTGTGCGTTTAGATGGTGTTGTGTAAGGCCGCAGCACGTACCCAGCTCAAAGGAGTCTGGATACGGCTGATAACCTGCGAACGGATGGAAAGGTGTGCCCTGGCCCCGTTCTAGCCCTTAGTTCAACATGAAGCTCGCGCGCTAAAGCTCCTTTTTACCTGGTTGGGCACTTGAGCCAAAATGGTATGGCAAGTACCTATATAGCAACTATACTGGGACCTCATCCCTATTGACATATATATATATATTATATATATACACATGTTATATATGTAATATATATAGAGAGAAATATTTATTCTATTTATGTACTGTATACAGTTGCAAAGAAACAACAAACCATTCAAAGTATTCAAAAAACAAACATGATATGAAATATTATGAACAGTTGCGGCCCATGAACTTTGTGGGTGGTTAGTACCATGCGGGTTCAAAGCTAGGTACCCTGAATCCTTCGAGTCATCTCACAAGCGCCTGAGCCGCGAGTCCTCGGCAGGCACCTGATTGACAAAGGGGAGGCCCACAGCCACCGAGGTCTTCTGAAACAGTTCGTCCGTCGGGAGGACTGTCCTACACTTCTTAGAAGCAAACATAGAGGGTGTGACAGAACCAGGTGGTTTGGGAGTGTCCAGATTTTGAGACACACCATCGATGAGCTTCTTCTCTTCCCTAAAGGCCCTAGAAATCGTAGACCAGACTTCCACATGTCATGTATGTTGTATGCGTGTTGCTTTGATGCCTCATCTCTAACCGTGACGAAGCACATTTAGCCAATTCCTGAATTCCTGTGCTCGGTGTCTGGGGATTGTGGGCCACCTGCTATGTAGTTTGAAGGACTTTGCTAGCTTACTGTATCTCACTGTGTTTGGCTTGCATCTTATACATATTTTATCATATATTACTATATTACCACATGGTACTATTCTTCACGGATATAGTAATAACGGATTCTTATGATTCTTTATGCCTGCGGCAAATGGAAACTGCAGGGGACATCAGGGACCTGTCCCCGGGCCCATCTTGGAGACCGGCCTTCTCGGGGTTCTCCGAGTCCTCAAATCGGCCGGACTTGAGACACGAGTCTCCAAAGGACCCACTCAATCAACTCAATTCCTGTTGAAGCCGGTCATGGTATGAGCTTGCAATGTGCTTTCTTCGTAGTTCGTCTCTCTTAGTAGCACTGTTCTTGACTTTTGCAGGAATATCCACGAATGGAGATTGCAACGAGTTCTTCGAGATCAGTCTGAGATAAGTGCCCTGATGTTCAAGATTCAAGCCCTATTGCGAGTGGAACTGCGGGAACACCAAAGATTCCAGCAATCACACTGCAGGGCTATCAGGAGTTGCTATTTATTAATTTGCACTGTCTTGCATCCCCCAACACAGTCCGATGATCCGACGAGCCTCCATCCCCTCCATCCGCCGGGGCCTCTTGCCCCGCTATTGCCCGCACTGCCAAGCCCAAAGGGAGAGATCAAAAGCACAGGCATCCATGATTTGGAGATGTGCGATGCAAAGTGTGATGCAAAACAATGCACCAAAAGGACACTTTGTGGGTGACCCTCGCACAAGCATCATGTCTCATGTTGTGATCGTGATCAGTGTGATCATCGTTCATAGCACTCAGTGGCGATAACACAAAAGGCTCGACAACCAGGGTGCAGCCAGAAGCATCTGCTTTCTCCATCACTTTGAGGAGGACATTGCCGCTCAAGTTCTCTACACAAATAATGACTGCCACTCATCAACTGGGCTGTCACTAGTCAATGGAAGATATCTTGCACCAGCTATGGCCAGCTACGTAAAAGTACATAGAAGTAGAGGGAAAGTGTTAAGTCTGTCACTTGATGCCAATCCTGCCAGTCTTGCCTACTTCTCTGGACAAAAACACCTCGATCGTCTTTGTGAAGTGGCAACATCTCCATAAGCGCCCATTGCCACAGACCCCACAAGTGGACCGACTTCGCCAAGTCTCGCAGAACAGAATAAGATCTCAGGTTTCCGGTTTCCCTCATCGTTGATGGAATTCTAAGCGCTAAACATGACAAGCTCTTGCTTCTTTCAGGGAGCATCGAAACCATAATCATTGTCCAAACTCGTAGAGGAAATTCATCGTCAAAACCCGAACACACCGAAGCAAATCAAGTGGTAGGGCTTGATGTACATCGACAAGCTATGGAGTTGATCGTGGCTCGTACCGGCGCATCCCTTCGGGATATCCGGGTCTCGATCTGCTACACATCCGATTGAATGCATCTATAAGTGTCACCAGCGGATTCGAACCAACTCTCATGTTAGACATAAATCATATCTGACCAGGGTGCACCAGGAGAGCGTACAAAGAAAATAATGTCAATATGGAGCCTTCATCCTGTTGTGGATCGAAGGGTGATGCACTTCATAGTCCACAAAACAGAACGATGGATTGTGTATGAGGTGAACATTACTGATGTTGGAGCTCTGTTAATCTTCAGCGTATGTTGAGTTTGTTTGACATATGACAGGTATTGACAGGTTCTATCCACTTCCATCTACCAGGTCCAGCATCATTTGATTCAAATCACCGCTCACGGCAGCGATGCGCAGCTGTGGCCATCGGCCATCGAATCCGCCGATGAAACTGCCAAACTGCCAGGGCCTTCACTTGTGCCCGGTTTCACCAGGGTCCACCAGAACGTGCTCAGCTTGTATGGACTGTATGGATTTATTCATTGCAAGCGGAGGTTGGTGCTCTCAATGACCGAAGATAGTCATAGCATGTCATAACCCAACCTCCCTTTCCCAAACTGAAATGGATTGACCAGACTTCAAGCTCAGACCCTCCAACTCTTTGTCTGGTGACAGCGACAAATGCAGCAATTGCACCCGCTGTTGGCATGTCCTGCCTCTGACGCTCGGTGGGACGAACTGGCTTTCCAGGTGCCCAAACAATTCAGACACGGCCCGATGGGACGCAGGGTGCCGGTCGGACATCGCAAGGACAACGTGGAGTCTGTACGGAGGTTGTGGCACCGGAGCCTCATCGGGATTGGCCCCTATTGGGAATTGAAGGCCGTCACAGTTGGGGCCTAAGCTGCCTAAGTGCACCAGCCAAGACTTGGCAAACCTTCAGAGCAAGAGTGGTGACGAGTTTGTTGCTGTCAGACTATCCCACAACTCCACACAACCATAACGCTTCTGTTCTAGGCCATTGCAATATTCATTGCAATATATTGCAACTGGTCTAGCTGCTGAACTGTGGATCTGGTGCCGCCACAGCAATAAAAGGCTCTTGGCCCGGCCCAGCCAACGATCATCAAACATTACAGTACTTCCCGTTGACGTTTGAGTTCTTTGAACCAGGCATCCTCAGCCAGTGTTGACAAAAATACACACACCCGGATGCTTGCATGCTGCGTCTCACATATGTTCTCTAAAGCACGGCCAGGCCCACATACACGGGAGAGATCCTCAACTTCTCAGTGACCCTCCAGCAGGACGTCTGCCACGCAGCGCGCAGGCGAGTGCGATCGCATAGTCGAGGCACCATTGGTCAGCCGGAAACCAAAGCTTGGAAGAGGAACCGTAGGAACGCATCCCAAGTCTGATCTAATGTACTGTACCGGCTGAAATAACAGCGAACTGAGAAATGCCGAGCCATGCCGAGCCCAAACCAATTCTTCTTTACCTTGCACGTGAACTTAGTGGATCACTGAGTCACCACATAATATGTACAGCTCGAAGAATCAGAAAATATTGTTTCTAATAGCTTCTTGTTACTACTAGTAAGGCACTTGTTACTACTAGTAAGGCACTTGTTACTACATATAAATATAGGTATCCTTCAAAATTGGGATCTAAAATTGATATATATTAAACATGTGGTCCCACGCGAACCTATGTACCACAAACATCCGCAAACCACTGATTCTCATGCCAACCACCCTGACACCCCGCCTCGGACCAAAATCCGAGCTCCCAAGGGTTGAACTCGTGGGCTCTCCATGTCCTCTGCACAGAGCTCTATGGCGAGCCCTCTAGTGGCGCAGACCTTTCTTCCTTCTAATGTTTCTTTTGTTTCTAATAGCAATGGCCTCCAACCAGAGCAATGGCCTCCAACATAAAAGCGATGGCCTCCAACCTAATAGCAACCTATAGTGATCCTCAACTCACTCACACATTGCAAACATTTGCAAACGATGCGTCTGCGCAACTTGTGTATTGAAGGAGATCCACGAAACAGTTGTTGTATCCAAATATTCCGAAACCATTGGATGAGGGCATCTGGAGGACGACCACCCCCCACGGCTACATCTTCAGGACATCGACTGAGACAGGCTGTGAAGAATTTAACCGATCTCAGGGTGCAAAAACCATCCATCCGTCCGTCCGTCCGTCCGTCCGTCCGTCTCTCTCTCTCTCTCTCTCTCTGGAGAATGGATTTCAATCGAGTGGTTGGTTTTGACCCACAGCATATCCCCGCAATTGGACCAAGGTGATAGTCTACTCTCTGTCAACAGGAAAAGTGGAACATCTCTTGGTGGAGTCGACTCAGCAGAGTTCTCCTCTGCACGCAGCACTGGAGAACCGGGGCACTGGAGAGGAAGATCCGTGGCCTTCATGGCACACAATGGGAAGGCATCCCTAGGGCTCCACCGATGGTACTTTAGCTACTATAGGTACTAGAAAACAGAAGGTAAGGTGGGCGTGTTCTAAGATGTTCTCACTATCTTCTGAGCAGTTGGAGCCCGATCAGATCGCTTGACGCCGGGATTGGTGAATATCTCTTCACGTGAGGAATTGGACTGACAGCCAAATGGGACAATTGGCATAACACATTTTGTTAAAATGGGACAATTAGCCTAGAACAAATCACATGCACCTAAGTTAGAGACCTAACTATGTCTGACAGTATCAGCCCTACCCCACCGTTCTACAAGTTCAGTTTGCAGCGGATCAGGGGCAGTCGCAAGTTGGTTCGTGACCACTTGTGAATGTGATTCCTGGATGACACCATCAAATAACAAACCAATTCCACTTCAATTGAATCTTACTCGATAAATTCTGCTGCGACGACCAGGGTTTCAGGTCGGTTCTCCAAATGGGTTTAAGTTATGTTTGCTGTGGGAGATTCAGAATAATCTCCTTTGTATCCCCCTTCAGATCTTCAAGACTAGTGAGTAAGATTTCTATGTATATATAATTCATATCTATTATATATTGTGGTTTCCAAATCCTTTGTATAATCCACCTTTGGGATTTGAGCCATTCGAGTCTTCTGAGGTGTTGTTCAGTCCCATATTGACCGCACCGTCGCCTTCTCCTTGGCCTCCTTAGCCTCTGCCTCATGGGCCTCCGCTCCAGTCACAGCATCAGCCAAATGTGTGGTGGGACATGAAGCTACCTCCCGGGCGGAATGGTGAAAGTCTCCGACCTCCACTGTTTGGGCTCCTTTAGGAAATGGCATGTGATGGGGAAAGGCTGATCCATATGTATATATATATATGTACAATGTGCACATTGCAATAAACCTCCAACAGCTGGAAAAAGAGGTAAAATTATTGCATAGTTGAGAAGGAAGTTGCATAATTATTGTGCAGGAGAAAGTTTGGTTGATGATTGCAACCTAGGAGACAGTATAATAATTGTCTGGGTCGTTTAAAAGTGTTTAAACATGACACCTACTGTATTGATAAAATAACATATGTTTATTGACAGTAGTCTACATAGTTGAATGTCTTTATTGGTGGATAAATTTGGTTTATATCTGACTCGCTGTCTATTATACAACCAATTGAAAAGGCAGGTTTGTTATTGACAGTAGTTTATTATTGTATGAGTTCGGTGGAAGGGAGTGTCCGAGGTTTATAGTTGACTGGTGGTTTATCATAATTGTGATGTGAACATTCTATATACATAGTTACAGCAATATAGAAATATATGTTCCTTGGGACTTGTAAGAATAATGAGAATTGACATGCACAAGCACAAGAGTCCCAAGATGTCCCAAGAGGTGTTGCACGGTTGATCTAGAACAAACACATTCAGCACACTGGACCAACATGTCAACCCATGTTATGAACAAAGTCTACTGTTTAATGTGGTCATAACACACACCTGTCCAACTTACCAATGTCTATTTCATTTAGCAACAACCATGATATCCCCCTAATATCCAACCCAAGTTTAGGAGCTTATGCTATTGACATCTATTGACCCTCCCCCCACTTGTTGGCATCACCTTTCCTTTCCCCATATCCGATGTCACCATCGTGTCACCGTCTCCTGGGCCACATTCAGTAGGCGTTGTTCTTCCTCCCGCACCTGCGAGTCATGGAATCCATTGCGAGTGGCCCAAAATCTGCAAACATCCGTGGAGAAGCTAGTAGAAACAAGTGCCACGCTACTAGGAACAAGTGCCTTACTAGTAGTAACAAGAAGCTATTAGAAGTACTGTAAATTAAGATTAAATTAAATTAACTACTAGCTTCTTGTTACTACTAGTAAGGCACCTGTTACTACTAGCGTGGCACTTGTTTCTACTAGCTTCTTGTTACTACTAGTAAGGCACTTGTTACTAGTAGCGATGCACTTGTTACTAGTAGCTTCTTGTTCCTAGTAAGCTAAACTGTGCGCCTTGAGGCGTTTGCTGGTGCAAATAACTTTTGATCGGTTGCAAGTTATCGGTCCGTAGAAGTTTATACAACTGCAGGATATGAACTTCTGGGATGAAACATCGTGGTATTCTCCACTTGCCCAGAAGTTCATTAACTTGGACATATAACATTTTGGTTATTGGTCTTTAAACTTCAGATCTAAATTTGCCAACATTTGTCTTATATTGTCTTGACCTCGACCTATAATCTCTTTGGAGTTTAGCTCCAGAAATAGCTTTCACCTAGCTAACCTTAGAAGACCTAGGAAGTGGCTAGTTCGGGCTTGGCTAAGTCAAAGCTAAGTCAGCTAACTCTCTAGCTGGGATTTATGAGTCCGAGCAAAGTCCTGTGCCAAGTGCTAAGTCCAGGCTGCAGTAAGTCAAAGCTGAGTCCCAGCCTTGTGCAAAACACGTTTTTGCATGTTTTTGCGCATGGAAGCGATGTTAAAAGCACGCCTGTTGAATTCAATCCACCCGAGTCCCGAGTAAGTGTATGTTTTGTTTGCGCTTGCAACAAGTTCTCAAAAGAGCCAACACGTTTGCGCCCACGGGCGGCATGGCTTTACAGGAATTCCAAAACCTCGAGTACTACTTGACAGAGAACTTGGTGCGCGATGTGTCGCAGAACGGCGCCCTGAAAAGCAGCGTCCAAAAAACAAACGCTGTATGTCTATGGGCCATGGACGACGAATTAGTCCACTTACAAGTCCGAGCCAAGTCCTTTGCTAAGTTCAAGCTGAGTACTTGTTAGCGTCAGTTAGATTACTGTACTAACTGTTACTAGCCAACCTTCTGGTAAGTATCTAAGGTGCTCACCAGTGCTCACCATTCACCTTGAAGCCGAATCAACAAACAGTGGTCACCCGGACACCCGGTGCTCACTATCGCGCTTGTCCACTTCTGCGCTTCTCCATGACCATGACCATGACTCGTGTGGGCGCATGGGAGACAGCTAGTTTACTAGAAGTGAGCAGCTCATGCCATTGTCTTGATTCCATTCGCTGCAATTCTTGGTGTTTCACAAGAAGAGGCTTCTAAGGCGAAAGTCATTCCACCCACAAAGAATAAATACAGGAATCACAAATCACAGCACCTAATCTAATCGACCTAATTCAGCAATGATTAGACCTTGCTGCTTTTTCACAAGGTTTCTTTTCAGTGAACTTACCGTCACATTTATCCCTAACCAAACATAGTCGGCGATGTTGACATGGATTCTGAGCATCTCTCCTTTTCATTCCAAACAAACTGTTTTCACCGATCTGCTCTGACCTTGGACAGCTGCTGCCGCAAGTCGTGCAGCTCCTGGACTGGACCGGGCCACACAGTGGCGAGCCAAGAGGAGCCCCCAGTGGAGGAACATGAAAAATCACCAAACTGTCTCCTGGATGAATTGAGACAACCTGAACTTGCCAAAGCAATCGGGACGTAAGCTGTAAAAAATGTGCCAAACAGTAATACATGCAAAGACCACATGGTGCTCCTTGATCAGCTTGATGAATCCCGAACCAAAGAGAACCGCACTAAAGGCTGATGAGTGGGCAAAAATGCAACACACTGCGTGACTTCACAAACTGGATTCCTTGACTGAATACTCCTTGACTGAATGAATGAGTTGGAATCTCCTATCATCTGCGACGGCTCCGCAGTGAACACCCAACCAATACACTAACAGAAAAGCTCTGTGACAATTTGCTGAAACCAGAAAACATGATCCTTTCGCAGCATATGTTCAATGATCCTTTTCACTTTGGTCCCTTCTGGCGCTTCTGGTCTCTTGGTCCTTCTCTTTCTCAATGATCTGCGACTCCAGTTCCAAGGCTTTTTTCGCCTCACGGGGCCATTGGCATCTTGTGGTCTAAGCGAGGAAAAAACCCCTTTGTAGGATTGTGGTTTCATGTGCTATGTGCATATTATATATGTAGATATGATATGTATACATATATACAGTACGTATATACATATAGCAAACCTGGGATGCTGTTGATGCTTCCCTTTGCCCGTGTTATGTTATTGCAGAAAGAAAACAACTGTTCAACGGCGAGCGGCACTTCCCCTGCCAGGTGTTTCATCTTGCCAGCGCTCTAGACTTTGCTTCTTCCAAACAAATGGTTGACCAATGTTGACCACCTGAATTTCAGTAAATTTCTCGAAGGTCGTGATAAGAAGTCTCTGAACCAGATTGTCCAGTGCCATGATTGCCAATCCAAATGCGGATGTCGTCCAAAGCTTAATATGCTCAATGCATTCACCATCAGATCCACTAGTCCAACCAACACCTTCACTCCGAACAGGAGACTTCCTCCCAACACTTGGACGGCCCTTCTTCGAGTCGCACCGCCCGCGCCTGCCGGTTCGCCGACTTCCGCAGTTCTTTGGCCGCCTTGCGCTCCACTGTCGTGGATCTCTCAGATCTCTCAGGTGACTGGTGGGATCTGGTGGGGTTTGGGCCGAAATCGCCATGGATGTCGTTACATTTTGTGGCCAGCATCTATGTTTCGGATTTAGGCTAGTTCTGAGGCTTGATTGATATCTACAAGAGGTTGGCTACTCTGTTTCGTCCTTTCCCAAGTAAACCAATGATGTCCATGCATCAATTGGACGATAAAGTGCCACAGGCCAGAGAGTCTGTGTCTCGATTGGATGGTTCGGAACCACACCAAAAGAGTCCTACAACACTGTCGCTGCACGACTGTTGTACAAGAGTGCCCCACAAGAGTGTTCTCCAAAGGCGTCGCACAACAGAGTGTCCAGCAAGAGCTTTTTGCAAGGGTTACCCACAAGAGTCAGCCCTACAAGAGTTTTCCAGAAGAGTGTCCCAGAAGAGTATTCCACAAGAGTGTCAAGCAAAAGTCTCGCACAAACGTGTCCTGCAGGAGAATTACATAGAATTACAAGAGAGTGTTACCCGAGAAAGGCCGTCTTTGGAGAGTGCCACGCAAGATGCCGCAAGAGTGTCAACCGATGCTTGGCCATTTGAGTAGGGGTACATGTTTGCGTTCGGGTTCGTGGGCTAGCAGTTGTTCTCTTTTTTACATGTCCTCTTGCCAGAAACACACCTAGACACCTTGTGATGCATACAGTGAGTGTTTGTTGGGCACCAATAGTTTACTGAGGTAAAAACAGGTGCTGGGGCCTTGACAGCTCCTAGTTCAGCCGCGTCTTGAAAACATTGCCCTTCCCTGATGACATTTGTGGACGCATTTTATTGAGGATGCTTTGCCTCTCTATCACAAAACAGAACCAAAGCATCACAAACAAGTCTAGCCGAGGCAAAGTAGAACTTAGATCTGACCTCCCCGACATCATGGCGACTAAGCCTTCAAAAGGCCAAGTAGATAATTCACTAGACTATATAATACTACAGTATATGAAGCTGCATGTCCCCAGGCTCAAGGGTTCAACTCCAAGTCGGACTTCAAGTCAATACTATATAACAATTCACTAGATCAATCCCCTCAGAGCCCTTACCATGAATCATCTTGAACGAGGTACTGTGCCATCTCTGGCAAAGCCATCGCTTTGTGTCTTGGTCAAGGTCTATGCCTTTAGACCATTTCAAACACAGTAGTGAATAACGGAACTTAATGATAAGTACAGTTGCTACAGAAGAAGAATGTACGCACTGTTAATAGGCTGAGTGGCCTCCCAGTTGAGATTCGGTGACTAGGATCACAAGGTGGATATCATGAGTCAACCAGTAGTACTGCACTTAGCTACTAGTAGCTTCTTAGTTACTAGTAGTAATGGCCTCCAACCTCCTAGCGATGGCCTCCAAGCTAATAGCTTCTAGCTACCAATTCTACCACAAAGGATAAACCGTGATAAACTCTCCTCTCATGCGCGACATGCTGCCTTCGCTTGTCGTTTCGATCTTGTTTCGTCTGGGTGACCACACGACTGAGCTTTCGGAGGCTTTGGTGGAGTCGGTCAAGCTCTTCCGCATTGCCTGGCTTAGCACACGGCCACCTAATAATGAGTGTATATTTACAACTTCTGGGGGACAAAATGTCTAGGGCACACCGAAACTGGGAGCTTGTCCATCAAGTAATGTTGATGATTCTTCTCCAAGGAATTCTTAACAAAGGGAGACCTTATGGGATCAACTCTCGGCTAAAATCTAAATGGATAATCTGTTAGCAACGAAATGCAACGGACAAACACTTAGAACAGCGTTGATCCATTGAACACCAGTTGGTCGCGGGGTGTTCGAAGTATGACCCTCCGAGAGGCTTGGAATATATACGGGAAACCCAAACTTAGGGAATCAATGAAATTCACTCAGAACATCGGCTCAAGATGCTCCAGGTATCTCATAAATATGTTATGAGTTATGAGTGTTTGTGCCGGGCCTTGGAAAGAAACTCTGCTACAAAAGGCTACAAAGCCTGCCGGGCCAGGATCAAACCTTCCCGACTGGTTTCAGTCCAAATGTGAGACAAATCATACCCCCACAGGGCACACATAAGTTCCAGGTCTTTTGTGGAGACAACTCCCGACTTGGATTAAGGTTCCTAGTTTGTCCTAGTTTGGATTAAGGTTCCGGGTCCAGAAGTCATTGAGCTTCTGGAGATTTGCTGTTGTCCTCAGCAACTGCTTGTGGCATTGCTCTGCAACCTTGGTCCTCTGCAACCCCAAGCAATTCCCTGTCCTCACCCGATCCAAGGCTAATGCTCTTGCTGTTCCAGTCATTTTTATGCTTGCCAGCGTGCTCCAACAGCCTCTGGAAGAAGCTGCATGAGGAAAAAAACAAGCACACATGTCACATATCGCTTGTCACAAAAGCAAACATGTGCGCATTCAAAACTTAATTAGCCAGCCAGCCAGCTTGAATGGACTTGCATCATTAGCTACATAGGACAAGGAATCAACAAAAAGACAACATGGAGATCGAGATTGCAAGACCATCACCACAGCCTCTATATCTACTTTCTTGGAAGAAAGTTTGGCGTGCAGCGTTCTGCACTCTGTCTTCACAATCGATGGTTCACTTTGCATGGAGATGGTTGAAAAGCCTGTCGGACGTTCAGATCGCCACAATTCTGCGACAAGAGACTCCACAGGAGGTGTTGGACGCTTGGACAAAATCCTGTGCCACCCAACCACTCTGCAAATTCTTATGGGCAAAAGGACGTCCATGTCTTTCACAGAATGCACGATTTTGTCCACCAACTGTGTTGCTGTGAAACTCACTGACTGGGACCAAACCGGATTGATTTCAGCACCCAGCAGACTTCGTTCGAGCGTCGAAAATCGGCATTTCCGCCTTTAAATCTTGCTCGGTTCGGCACATTCTCCCCAAATCTGTTCATTTCATCAGATCTATTATCCCATCGACTGACGCAGCAGGGAGTTTGTGCCAACCTTCCGTTCTAAAACTTAAACTTGGATCCTTGAGATGCCCTGCCAGCCTCACATCACACTGGCCCGCGTCCTCTCCACCAAGTCTTTGAGCACCGCTTTAAAGCTGTCCTGGACTTGTTTACAATTCTGGATCACTTCCTTAGCAGAATTGAGAACACGGAGGTGTCTTGGAACCATCAAAAAGCAAAGCATTGACCGGACGAAGCCCAAAAGATGAAGCACATTTCATGGTCCTTGGGTGTTCCCTCAATGCTACATCATACTACTACATGGTTTCATCCGGGACACATGAGACAAGAATTGACATACAAACCTCTATGGATGTCCCCTAACAAAGAACCAAACATAAGTAATTGCGTATTTCTTCTGGATCTAAGACCGATAACTGGGCCATGGGGATCAAATGTCCTCATCCCATTAGATCATTAATCTATAAAACAGGCCCGTCCACTCCACCCAAGACTTACCCCTCGTCCCGCGTCACCTGGTTCTCTTCTTGGACAGTCAAAGCTTCAAACAAACGCCCCAGGCTAAACGCTCGCAGCGATTTCATCGTCGACAGAGTCTTCCGACCAGGTTGGGCCCCTCCCAGGAGTCGAATGCGACGCTGCACGACAGCCATCAGGAGCTGGGTGTGTTGGTGGCACTGAGAGCTCTTCCTCCGGATATACCTTGCATTTCCAGCAAAAGGACGAAGGAAAGTAAGGGTGCGAAGCACTCCATCTTGCACCTACAATCCTTTAAACAGTTTGAAGCACCTAGTTGATTGCAGGTTCTTTCGCACGAATCGTTAATTGAGGAAAATCTAAACCAATACACCAAGAGTTCAAAGAAGACTCCTTTCATCTCTTTTCCGGAGAAGGTGCCACAGGACCACGGATAAAGCCATGGCTTCATCCAAGCAGTCCATGAAGTGTCTCTCGTTCTTGCACAGCTTTCGCTTCGGCTGTGTGTGTTCCAAGTGGCCTTGGAGTTTAGTGAGAGTCCTGGGGAAAGGAATTCCTCAAGTGGTCTTGCCCGCGCTGCCCAATACCAATATTTGCAAGGGGCATTCTCATTGGTGAAACATGGTGAAACCATTTCCATCCATTGCCCAAAATTCCACACCCCTTGTCCCACATGTCTGGCCATCCCACGTGTCTTGTCCACTCTTCATTTCCGTTGGGTCTTCCCTTCAGAGTTTGGGATGTTGGGGAAAGCAATGGGAAATGAGAAACAAATTATATGCAAACAAAAAAATCATCTAATCAATGTCCCAAGTGGCAAAACTCGCACCAAGCAGCCTTTACACACTTTCCATGTAAGGCATGCACACATGGGGCTGCACAGAACCACGGATGTCCCTTGCTACCCAACGATATTGGAGCTTCCTGAGAGCATTGTCCCAAACGCGAACGCTGTGGAATCCCGTGTGAGAAACTCACCTGACGGTCAAACAAATGGGTCCAAAACCACCTCCACCGTTGGTTGTCCTTCTGGTCCCTTTCAGCTTTGGACATGATTTCAAGGCATCCTTTCTAGTTACTAGTTTTCAACTGGATACTGGATACGGAAGATATTCTAAGACTGGACAGTTCCAGGTGAAACACTGTCTTGCCTGTTGACCGAAACACATCATTAAAATCCCAGCTTGTGGGCTCACCTTTCTCAAAGATTTGCCTGACACGTGAGCAAAACAAAACAAGACAGACTGATGCAAGTTTGAACAATCAATATATATACATATATATATATTATATTCGGAAGTCTTCCCAGACCAAACAATACCGTGTGAACCCAGCGCCAATATGCGCCATTTGCATCTGCTCAGTCCACGGGCGATGTCCACAGGTCGATCTAATGCGATACCCACCGGCAATGGCCTGCTACCACCGTACCGATCGGATCGGTTTACAAGACTCTATTGCAAGTCTTCAAATTCTTCAATATCTATGTAATTTGCACTGGTTTGGAGCAATTCCAATAGATCAGTTTCACAACAGCAATTGCTTCACCGATCAATCCATATTATATATACAGTGACAGTAACTGAAAATGACATCCAATATCCCACTGCATGCCAAGGCTCTGTCTTCCAAGAGAATGAATCAGCAGCAGCGCGCAAGAGCCAATCCAAGCGCTCTTCCTCAGAGGAAGACTCTAATGGATCTCTAATGGGTTATGTCAGGCGTGTCAAGGTGGATCCCACCAGGTTCTCTTCAGCAAAACTTGCCAAGTCCCATGATCCGTTTAGCAAAGACACCTCAAGTTACCAATCTCACGTCCTAGTCACGGTTCTAGGAGTCTTCAGATTCTCTCCACATGCTAGACAGGGACATACAGGGACATTCAAGAATTATCAACTGCTTGCCTGCAAGGCTGATGATCTTGCACAGTGGGATCCACATATCACCAGAGATATCCACAGGTCCACTTCTTCGAGTGGTACCCATTATCTTTGAACGATCGACTTCGATGGTTGGCAAACCAAGGAGGCCCGCGTCGGCAAACAATCATTAGGTCCGCCCATCTGACCTCACCCTATCATCCCGTGCGCAACTTCATCGAGCATCTGACCTCACCCTTGGCGTCTCACTCTGTGATCTACGCCTCGAGTGGGAATGATCCTCCACAAAGTGGAGGAAGGTTCCTCGGCACCTTGACAGGTCGGGTTGGACCCGAGCCCTTCAAGAAAGTGGCACGTCAGTGCAGGTATTGGCACTTAGAGCTTAGAACTAGAAAGAAGGATCCGTTTGGATCTGTTGTTTCATCATGTTTCATCATTCCGAGCTCCCAATTCAACATGTATAGGATATAAGTCAGAAGCTCTGACAGGCTTGAATGGCATACAGTCCGAGGCTCCGGAAGGCGTACAAGCAAACTGCTCATATCTTCTACTGGCCGCTTCTGGGAGACAAGACTAGATCGCTAGATAAAAATGCATCGTGCACTCTTCCTTTTTGCCAAGGTCTTTGAAGGTTCCCTGTCTTGATCCTAACCAAAAGAATCAATGCCCAAGAGTTTTGTTTTGTTCAGAACTCGACCGCCTAACACACGTTGGTTTCTAATTGCGGCCCAAGGCGCTGGAGAGTCATGCGGAGTTGGGCGTTCGGATCATGAAAACTTCACAAAACGGCTATCGTGGCATCGCCCATCTGGGCATCCAAAGGCTTCAATCCGATCCCCCAAAACCCGAGCAACCAGGAACCAGGTCAGGCATATCACGCACTCTGCAGTTCCGCACTCAGAAGCCCCTCCGGTACTGGTGGTTTTGATTGTTTTGACATCGTCCTGACACCCCATGATCCTCAAGTTGCCTTCGTCCATGTGTGGTGCTCTTTCCATGCACCTGCATGGGCACCTGCATGAAAGATCTGCTTCCCAAAGAAGAGTCCCTTTGGTGGTTTTCAGCACCCTCTCATCAGCCAGCTATGGAAAACACATGAAAACACTCTTTTGTTCAATCTTTTTCCAGGTTCCACCAAACTTACCCGTCATTGATGCTTCCATCTCAAGCTAATTTAAAGAGTTGCAACAACCTTGACAACGGTCAAAAAGCAACATCTATCGATAATAATAATAACAATATGGGTGTGGGAACGCATGCACTAAACGGATTCGGGGAAGCGCTAATGGTCTCAAAAGAAACTGGAAAAGGTAGAAGTGATGTTGCTGATCAGCAATTTCCAGCTCGCAACAGCACAATGCACAGGATTCAGTCCTCCCAAATACGAAGTTGGAGCCAGTTGATTTTATGTTTCTTGTTTTCAGTCCTAAACAAGGCCTTCTGTCTGAAACACCGGCACCAACTGAACACCAAAATTGGTTGTCAATGCAGGTTCTTCCAATTCACAAATGCATACATATAGTTTGACCAATCCTGAACAAAATAGCCTAAGGGCCTTGGGTCTTCCTTGACCATGCCTAGCAGAAAACAACAATAATTAATCAAATACAACGAGTTAAGAGTTCTTCTTGCCTTATGAGTACTCAGACTCCTTCGACATCACACATCATCTCTGCGGTCCACCGCCACTCCGGCCTGGCTGGTGGTCCGCGCTCGCAGGAAGCCGCTGCCGCCCGACGGGGTCACGTCCTTCACCGCTGCCTTCAGCAATGCACGCAGCTCTGCACTCCTCGTGGATCGGCGCGGTGAGACGACAACTTAAAACTTAACCCGTGCACAGCGATAATTATGTTAAAATGTGTGAAAATTCTTATGACATGTGGTGAAACAAGACATGTAAGTTCTTGGAGTCGCCTGTCCATGAAGCCCAAATACATTCTAAGAAGGACTTGGGGTCAGGATGGGTCAGGTCTCAGTACTTTCCAACATCTTGACTAAGGCCAACATACATTAGAAACAATAATCTACTAGGAACAAGTGCATCGCTACTAGGAGCAAGGGCCTTACTAGTAGTAACAAGAAGCTGTTAGTAACAAGAAGATCCTTCAGGACGACTTCCGACCCTTCGCCACGGTTGGCAGCCCCCGTCTCACCGTGTCACTTCCACAGGCCGATCGCCGAAGAAGGTGGGCTTCTCCTGTGACCGGTTTTTTCTTCCAATTCGTCCGAAAACGGAGTTCGGCAAAACGGTCAAAACATGTCAAAACCATTCAAAACCAAAGACTTCGGCCACGGAAAACCGGAACACGGGGCTACACGGCACCTTTTCACCGATACGGCCACAAAAAGCCTAGTGGGTCCCTCAAGAGTCAATGCTACGGTTGGTTTGCACGTGGATCCCTTCTGAGTTGGGTGTGGCCTGGAGTTGATAGTCTCTGTTTCTGGTTCTGGTCAAGAGGATGGGCAGTATACATATATATATATAATATATATAATATACACAATCCTGTTTCCTTTATGAGGTTCACTGGGCACAAGACATTGCCAACACAGCTGATTGAGGCTGGTTGGCAGGCATCGCAGTGGCCATTGATGAGCAGTCACAAATATCAACCAAACATTCAGCAACATATTGACTCTCTGAACTCGAAGGTACTTATGCAACCGCTGGCTGATACCCCAACAAAGGTCAAACAGCAGGATGGTTGTTCAAAAATATATTGTCCTCATCCTCCTGAGCCGTCTTTGACTTCTTCCGCGGCGACTCATCTGCCTCGGCTGCTGTTTCTTTGGGTCTTCCTGCTTCTGTCGGGGGATGACAGAGTTTTGGCTAGCACAGACATGAACATGTCAGGGCTTGACTGAAGAGCTTGTCAGTTTACTTCATTCAAGTGTCTATCACCTACTAGCAGCAAGGACGCTACTAGGGGCTCCTGGCCTTACTGCTAGGAGCAAGAAGCTACTAGGGGCTCCTGGCATCGCTACTAGGAACAAGGACGCTACTAGGGGCATCTACATCACACTATTCCAAAACAGCAGGTCAATTGCACATCGTTGCACCACACCCGTGTCATTTGCACTGTTTTCGTGGTGGGGTTGAGTCACGGTGAGTCCAGCATCATGGCTTTAATATGCTTTAATATTTAATCTCCTTGCTGGTATCTGGTACCCAAGGTCACAGGAGGCTCCTCATGAGTTGACACCCACCAAACTTGTGTGGGTCGTCGAACCAAATCCAAACGGCATCAAACGGCTGTGACCCAAGAGCTTTCCGCATCTTTGCAGCTGCTCATTTCAATCCAAGCTGCAGGGGAATGTCTCAAAAATGGAGGGTGGGTTGATGCCAGGATGTCCGAAAGCTTTCCCACCAATGCACAGATTTCGATTACGCTTCCCAGTGAGGTAAAATATGCTTTCAGACGTGATTTTGCAATTACAGCGGCCTTTTGACCTGTGGGTATCCAAGATCACAAGCTGACCGCAAGTTGTACATCACCGGCCCAGATTGACGACCACAATTGACCATAGTTGCCACATATTTGCCACATATGTATGTATGCTAATATTTCTTCCAAACCTACCAACAAAAGGTCAAGCTCGTTGGCCTTGGGTCCCCAACCTCCTTCTCGCCTTTGATGCTCTTTTTCTTCCGCGGCGACTCCTCTGAGCTGCCGAAGGTCTTCTCCTGCGATTGGAAACAATGAAGAAAGGACAGGGGGAGATAAACCCCACATGAGGATCATGAGGGCGCGATTAAGCTGGAAGATTGGGTTGCCAAGTCTTCATATTTTAAAGGAAGGAATCACCCTTCATAGAGCCTTCAACAGCGTATGTGGTTGACCTGGGTCCTGGTATGTTCTGGTGAGACTTTCTGCTTTCAACGCTTCCATCTATCTTCTCATCCTTGTATTTTTTGTCCTGTGATTGGTGAGACTAGGATGACCGGCGGCCCCTCCTTCCAGCTGGTCCCTTGAAGAATGTGTAGCGATCCGCTCCAGCTTTCATCCTCACACGACATCGTTCGGTCTATCACGTGCAGTCACGGTGTTCGCTTTGGGGACCTTTCGTTGGCGGGAACAGGATTCGCTTGGCAAATGCTTGGCCCAAAGCGGACTCAAGGCCGAAGCCCTACAGATTTGGGGAGCACCCGCATGGTTGACCGTCACAGTCGAGTCGTAGGTATGATTCCATGGTCCGCGTCCCACTGAAGCCAGGCCAATCAGTTAGACAGTTAGACCATGAAACATCGAGTACACCTGTAGAGTGGATATGACTGGTGTGTGTACGCCTAGGCATTACAGGGCCAATGTGCATGAGAAGTGAATGCGTGAGATCTTTGGTTGAGCACGTCCTGAGGATGCTTTTTGGGCTTTTTCCTTGAGGACAGTATCAAGGAAGATTCTTTTAAACTTGTAGCTCTTTAATCAATATTTAGAACTATTCAGGCATTCTCACGAGTACTACTTTTGGCACAACAGCAACAATCGGATTGGAGGATGCTACACATCAGTCCTTCTGCACCTTCACTAGTACTTTGCAACATGAGCATCTATATAGGTTGGAGGCCATCGCTACTGGGTTGGAGGCTGAGGCCATCACTCTTAACAGATTTAGTCGATTCAAACAGGCTAATCCAGGTCTCTTCAACCCGGCATCTCTCATCACCCAGAGACCCAGGGTTTGGGACTGTCTGTATTCAAAGGTACACGAGTTCCGAATCGACCCAAACAACGTGCCTCTAACTGGCTGGTCAGGCTGTTCAACTGATCCTTTGCAAATCACAAAGCGCATGGCAAATCTGGCACTGACCAGGCAGAGTCAAAAATTGTAACTTGTGTCCAAACGCATCCAGCACACGTATGTGACTCTGGTGTCTTTGGAGTTGCGCCTGGGGCTTCTCCTGTTCCAATTAAGGAATCTCGGAATTACTAAAGTCAGAACAGTCTTCGGGGCAAAAGCTGAAGCAAAACAATCCGGCCTACAAATTGCTCCAAACTCTTTCGGTACCATGAAGCAAACGCTGACCAATCAATCCCCATGAAACATGAGTCCCTGCAACTGCGGACTCCTCCGGGCAGTTCTTGGAGTATTTCCACATTGCCGCCGCCATCACCAGTGGACCCAGGACCTCACCCCGGCCCCGTCTGTCCCACGCCACCCAAACGAGTTTGGCAGCACACAGGAGACGCAGAAAAGGAACCAGGGTGCTTCTTGTTCCCAGTAGTAAGGCCAGGAGCCCCTAGTAGCGTCCTTGCTCCTAGTAGCGATGCCCTTTGTTACTAGTAGCAAGAATGCTCCTAGGATCGCCCTTGATGATCTGATCATTCTTCAACACCTTCCAAGTTCGCCTGTGGTTGCACCCACCCAAACCACACCTTTCGGGGAGCATGGCCACGAGGGCGGAACCAACAAGAATGGACCTATATAGTTAAAGTGAGATTCTGAGATGATGTTTCTCTTTGGTCACTGAGGGTTCTCAACACTCACAGAACAACTGATTAAAAAGGGCATCATTCTTTTAATCAGCTTCATCACTGGGATCATTGTTGGCGGCTGGTTTTATCGCTTTCATCAGGATGCCCTCTTTTACACAAACAACAGGACGGAAATTACAGTAAACACTATTCTTGATCTGGGACTGCGAATAGTTTCACAAATGCCTGCAATGCACTTCCAAGCTCGCAAGAATCTAGACAACTAAGCACTTGAGAAGGTGTGACGAGTGAGAGCACTTTGGTGGTCGTCCGATGAGCCAAAGAACCAAGAGATAAGGGCTGTATCTTCTGGTTTGCACGTACATCTGGGTGTCTGTTGGACTACAAAGAGCGAGGTAATCAATATCTACCTCCGTCTTAGTTACTTGACCATGCATGTCACATGTTTACACTCAACATCTTGCGTGAAGCAAATTTGCTTTGGATGGTCAATGCAACACACATTTTAAGGCCATGACCATCTGGAGGAGTGCCTTCGAGGGCATGTGCTGCATCTGTCGAACCTGAGATGTGGCGATGTGGACCTCGAGACCAACCTGATATTATACTAGAACAACAAACTATCGTAGCTTCTTTGGTCAACTCCAACGATTCCATCTCCGAGGCAAATTTCTATGGATTCCCAACATCACCTATCCGTTCAGTTCCGGTCGAGATGCATAAAGAATGGCTGTCCGGGAGTTGGCCGGAACATGGCCCTTTGAGGCTGTGAGGTACTCGGCCGAGGACTTCTGGCCTTTGAAGAAGTCCTGTGTGGCTGCGAGGTGACGAATCGCTGGTCGCTGCCCAAATGGCTCAAAGTTTGAACCAGTGTGGCTGGATTTGTCAGGGTGAAAGACATAAGCGTTTCAGTTCATAGTTCAAGGACTGGAAAAGATCGACCAAGAGAACTGGGGACCGCTTGGAACCCTCCAAGACCCTGGGATCATCGACTCCAGATTAGAGAGCTGCAACCGCCGTGAGTGCATTGAAATGAATGTCAAAGGGTCGGTCTTCCGAATCACAGCAGCTCTTCTACATCCAACATCTCCCGTTTCCAACATGCTCCACAGTGCTCCCCCCCAAAAAGGGGGTCACCGTCTCTCGCAACTCAGTCAAGAGTGACTTGGCACCTGCGCGCCCATGAGCATAATGGTCACCGCTTGTGGGGGCCATGGTATCTTTACGCCGGGCAGGTTCATCGCACAGCCTGGCCGGTGAGGTGGTAAGTGTTGCCGACTTGGGACTGGATGGAGTCAATAGTGATTTCCAAATAGGATTAGGATGTTTGAGAGAAAAAAAGCTTGCCTATCAAAGCGCTCAAAAGTATTATTTGACCCAAACCACTCTTTCCGCTCGAGGAAGCGGCTGGGCCTCCGTTGATCACCACCGCAGGAGGCACTTGGTTCCCCAACCTCCTGGGCAACAAGCTACGGGCGCTGCAATCCCCTATGCGATGGTGGGCGGGGCAGCATCAGCAGCATGTCTAAAAAAATATCATAAATGTTATCAATGAGCTGGAAGGCTACCTTAAATGCTCTCAGGATAAAACTATGGCTCGAACAATCCTTTACCATCCTGATGTCTATGTCTCCGCTGCAATGACTCCACGCACCCCTGTGTAAGAACCAGCATCCTATTGACAAACCAAAGCATGTGGTTGTCCATGCCATTCGCGACATTTGTGGTTTGGAGCGCACACTTTAAGAATATCGTTTGCCATGTGCCGCCCCACCCTTGCAACTAACATCTGTTGCCCAAAGAAGAAACAACGTAGAAAGGACAACTATATTAGGCCATAACCCTGTGGTGTCTAGTTGTTTGCAATTACTTTTTGGCCCAGAACCATCTTAGTGTCTTTATCTACCTCCTGTCCACGCATGGTCAGCCAAGTCTCTGCCAAAACCGTGGCAGCACCACTTGACCTGGTGACGCCAGCGAGGTGACATGACGTGCGGAAACCTTTGTTGACTGCTGTAATTAACAGGCCATGCTGCCCATGTAAATGTTCCAAAGGACAAATGAGGCACTCATTTTTCAATCTATCTCACCTAGGATGACTACATATTTTGGGCCAATCCATTTGGTTTCCTCTCTTTCTAGGTCGCGCATATTATATATAGAGTTGAAAGTTTGAATGTATTCTCAGCCAGGACCATCAAAACTACAGTCCAAGTACGCCATGAGCCCAGGCTTTACATCGTGCTAAACTACTTTGCCTTTTGCAAATGGTGTGGAGATCAAAGGGCTTTGTTGGAAACATTTGGAAACTGTTAGTAAGGGACAAATGTAGAATTGTTCATAAATTTCCAGTTCTGGTGCCCGCTGACCCTTGCCTCCCCTCGATCCCAGCACGAGTACATCACCCATGGGCTTTGCCAACAACTCCTGACATGGCCGCTCGACAATTGGGTGGAGGAGTAGAGTATATAATGCACAACACCCAGAAGTGCAAGTCAGGCCAAAGGACCAATCGTACCCATGACCCGCACACTTAGATATAAAGCTCAACGGGTCGAGCATTCATTCAGTGGCTGAATCCGGATGCACTAGCGCTTTCCATTACTGAAAGGTAGACCTTGGCTTGCAGGAACAGCAAGGCGGTTCGTCGGCTGAGAAGAATGTTTGAACAAAGGCTCACTAGCGCTTTACAAGGAAATTAGGGTAACAGCTTGTGAACATCACAACCGGAAAGAGAAATGATGTGGTCACCAGCTGCGGCTGACTATGCGCCAAGGTGCCCCACTGCAGGACGTCCAAACTTTCACGGTCTTCGTTGGCTCTGGCGTGAAAGTGGACCCAGAGCTCCCTACTTGTAGTTCAAAAGTTAACCCTTCGAGACAGGGTGTGACACACACACACACACAAACCACGTGCGGGTGATGCAATGAGATGCAATCAGTTGCTTGACCCATCAATCAAATGGTCACCAACACAAAACAGAAACACCACCACCGAACAATTGGGCCCTAACCGAAAGCTAAGGGAAGGGTCTACAGGATATTCTTTGACTGTAGGCTGAGGTTACAGTAATAGACATTGATATTGGGGACATCTTCATATCTCGTTGCAACAAATGCCAGTCCATGTTGTCAGTCTCGCTTCAAACACAAGAACTCGTTATATAAACCACTCTTCACCTGTGGGATCTGCACTAGTCAGCTGGACAAACAGGCCACAACCCACTACGAGACAGCCACAACCCGCCATACCATCCTTCACTAGGATCGTTTATTCGACTGGTTTGCCATGTCAACAATGGCATGTTGACAACGTTCTCCAAAACAACCATCACAACCGTCCATCAAAACCAGAGCCACTCATCAACCATAACCAGACACCAACAAAAAAAGGGGGTCAGTGGCTCAGCTGTTAAACCACTCCATGTGACCAGCAGCTATTTGAACCATATTCAACTCCCATCAGTTGCCCTCCCTTGCTCCGTTGCACGGTGTTGCGGATGGCACCGCCTGCGCGAAGGTCTCCAGGTTCGGTGGCGCCTTGCCGTTCTGCCAGCTGGGCGGGTAGCGATCGTACGCAGCTCCGCGCGAGCCGCACAGCTCGACCTGGAGAAAGGCGGCTTCCAAAACGTGTTCCAACAGGTCACAGGATTGGTGGGAAACAAACATGTGTATAATTTGATAGAAGTTGATAGGTGAATTTGCAAAATCAAGGAGGGTCTCGTGGTATTCAAGTACTCATTCAATGAATGCAGGTCTCTAATTACTATTCATTGTGATGTGCATTGATCCGTTCAGCTGTGCTGTTGTACCTTGTGTGTGTCTGATGTTCAACCCCTTAACCTTTGATGGGTTGTTCCAAACATGCGAACATCCACATGCGAACATCCACACAAACAAAATATACTATACCGACTATCTCGGGCTGATGGGTCATGACTTCTTATAATACGATTCTAAACAGCGGCCCTCACCTCATACTTCCGACACAGAACTCCCCTACTATAGAACCCCAGCATTTGCCCCTGTCAGCATACGGCCTTGATCTGCTCATCTTCACCTCGGAAAAGTCTCGGTCACGTGTGGACCGACTTACAGACTTATTTAGCAAACAACGAGGGTAGGAGACTGAGAATTTGTCTTTCATGGTCTTTGGGAAGGAACTTCCTTTGCCTATCTTCCTCACCTTACTAGTTTCACTGGTTAAAGCCAACACATTGCGTCAGCATGTCCACTAAGAAACATGACGACATTCCATTCCTGGAACATTCCCCACCATTTCAAGGGTGACATCGGATAACTGCAGGTCACGAGTGTTCTCTGGCTCCAACCCTGACGTCTCCCAGCAATACTGCGACCCAAGAGGCCCAACTCCTTGTAGACATCGCTGTTGAGCCCGGTGCCTGCGCCTGGCGCCACCACCATGACCTTGAAAGATGCCGGGAATGGGAGGAAGACTTCATGGTCAATAGACTCAACGAGACGAAGACCTATTGGTTTGGGGTATCTCTCTCGTCTACTAAACTTACTAGACACCCTAAATTAAGGAAAGTCTTCATGGTCAGAGAAGGGATCCACAAATCCTTTTTGAGAAAGTAGGCACGGACACTCCGACACCCAAAAGGCACTCCGACGGTTCTTCTCAATTGGTATGTAGATCCCCAGGGCCAAATAAAGGGGATGTTTGTAGACTTGGAGTTGGGATGTTTAACGACGTGTTTGTTATTTTTGTTTGCAAATGGTGACCCACTCGAATGGATATTCCGGTATTCCTTCAGTATCAGTGATAAAGTTATGCAGTGAGCGGCAACAGGTTGCCATTGTGATGATTGCATTGGGTGTGTCAAGGAGCTGTCAAGAAGAGAGGAGGACCAGGCCAAAACATCTTCCTTCCTCCAAGCGGCATGTAGCGCCAGCTTCAATGAGCAAACGCTCTCGGGCTTCACGTAGCGCAAGCCCGCAGAGACACGGACACGCAAAGAACCTCCCAGTTTGATGATGCCCGGTTGAGCCTCACCATCTACTACTGAAGAAAGCACAATTAAACAACAAAAAAAAACGGTGTTTTAAGGTTTCTTTCTTCAACACAGGAGGGCCTCACTCGAAAGACACTGAACAGTGACACACGTGAAACATTAGCTCAGCCTATTGCTGAATGATGAAAGGCTCTTTGAGAGAGCCGTCCGGAATACTCAACTTCAGCCCTTTCATCAACATCATTCAACATCACGACATGTTCAAGCAAAAACCTGGGATCATTATGATGTTGTTGGGTGAAACGTTCAATTGTTCCAATCCGCAAAACGAACACTGTCCCCCAGCCCTGGCCTTTTGGCATCACGAGGCCTCCCGCGGGGGAGAAGCTCTCAGTGAGGACATCCTCGCGAGTCTCGATTCTGAGTCAGGGACCGCCGCCACAAAACCCTTGGTAAGTTCGGGACTAGCGGCTGGATTGACCCAGGTGACCAGCTGAAACTCACAGTGTGCCTTCAGCAGGGTCCTTTGTACGGTTTCTTGAAGGTCGGATGTGGGCTTTGACCTAGTTATGGATAATGTTCTGCTGTCCTACCCAATCTACATATATTTACAGTGAATATCATGCCATAGAGCTAGGTAGGCCCGGGAATAGGCCTAGGCATCCCCTACCCTATAGGCCCCATAACTGTTTTCATCTGTTTTCATCTGTTTTCTAGGGGTACCCTAGCAAATGTACACGCCTGTATGTGGGACATCTGTATTGAATTTGGGAAACGTCTCATGTTGCCTCCCTGTCTCAACGATATCTTCCAGCGAGCTTAATTGCTGGAGCTTGGCAGTTGCTCACAGCAGAGGTTCCATAATCGTTGGACGACAATGTCCACCAACATCCAAACACAATTTAAAGATGGTGCTATGAAGCATCATAAGCATCCGAATTGTAAAGAACTGTACTGTACATCATGGTCTAGCAGTGTCGCGATTCTTCTGGACTTAGGCATGTCTTTCCAAATGCGACTGCCAGAGTGCTGGCCACAGGAATATACCAGGACCATGGGGAAAGCAAAGGGTCCCTACACACGTCCTCCTCCCCCAAAACCGGTGATGTTCGTAGCTCCTCTACGGTGCCTTCCAGCCACTTCTGGGTGGAAGTGCTCCAGGTCTGTCCAGCGTTGTCGCCAAAGACCGATGATCAATGCAGTGCAATCATGTGCAATCCATCCCCGAACTAGAAGTCCATTGATGTGAATTGGATTCAATCGGGGTACTGTATATCCTGTTGTCTCACACCAGCACTGCTTCCATATATTACAGTGGCTTCCAAAATCTGTGTATGAACCGTCAGTGGATCTTAGACACTGTACCTGCATTGCGCTGGTTGAAAATATTTCATAAAAGACACCTTGCCAAATGAGAGACCCCCCGTGGCCTATCCCAACGCAACCTCGAGCATCGGACTCTTTGATATTCCTCTCTTCTCTCATTTCTTCTCGTGGGCACAACAGTCTACTATGGGAGGTTTACCGAGCATGCTTGGTTGTAACTAACAATCACATGCTAGTCCAATCCAATCAATTACCTGTTGACTGCAGTGGCTACAATTCACAAGTAAACTTCAATGTCACACACACACACACACACATTGCAACCTTGTGGCAAACACTCAATCTTCAACCTCTGATGTGTATGTTCACTCATTGGAGGTTTGGAAGTCACAAAGCCTACTGGGGAGACCCTCCGCAGGAGACGATTTCTGCCCGACAACTTTGGCACCTGGACCTTGTCGCCTTTGTGCGGCATCCGCACAAGGCCAACTGCGCGAGCTGAACCCCACGACAGAAACATGGTGAGGTGAGGGCAAGAAACGGGATGCTTCACCAACTGCCCCCCAAAAGCATTCCTTTTAGGTCCGGTTCCCGAAGTATCCTTCCTTTGCATCTTGTCATCTCACCACCGGACCTAGTGACTTGACCCAACATATTATATATGGTGAAATAAATATGCGGATATGTATATCATAAATTATATATATATAATATATTATATTTATGTATTCCTGATAAATGATGTTTAACGCATGATGACGTACCTGAGTTGGGCAATGCAACATGGATGGCACCAGCCTCCTTCAGAAGAATGTCATAACCGCATCAAAGGCCAATCATGCATGGTGTAGTCAGTTCGCTGTGTTGCGTCACCCGCTACAGGCAAGTGTTCAAGGTGCTCAGTTAACCTCGAAGCTTGGATGGGTTTCCTTTGAACACAAATCTTTGGAATCATCAATCCTGTAAATAAACAAACTCTGAGAACATGTCCAAGAAAACTGACACCTTCGTCTTTCGTGTTGAAAACTCCGCACCTGCCGCTAGGGGGGGCACTTTGGAGAACCTTTTGAGGAAAGAAGCAACCTCCAGCCCCTGCTGGCCGTGAAAGTGAAAACCCGAACGGAGACAAATCGATCCCGCTTTTGCCTGGTCCGATGGCCGGGGAACCCAGAGTGTTCATCACTTGGGGCGCCATGGCGATCGAACCAACGACTAGACACGCGAGTTGGATCAAAAGTCAATCAAAACGACTAGCCGCTTTGCAGACTTGATCTTAGAGTCAAACAAAACACTTTAGATTGCCCCAACTTTGATGTACCTCAATCACTAGATATCTGGGGCATTGAGTTGGACCATCTTTAGTTCGTCTAATTTGTCTTATCTCTTGACCTTCAAGTGGCGCAACCTCAACATACATCCTAGAATGATAGCCGTAGAATTCTATTGCTGCCTTACTCCCAAAATTAGTCCTGAATAGAGTTTTGTTCGATGTTTGGTTTAGGGAACTATCAGTATCAGGTTTGATCTATGTAGTTGTCATCTCTGGGTGCGGCAACCCGGGGTGTAGATTCTAGTGATCTCATGCAACCTGGCTGCCCGCCATCTGGGGTCTGAGGAAGAACGCAACTCAGAAGACACACGACATCCAATGTGAGCAAAATTTGAAGTCTATGACATCGCTGTTCCCCCGTGTTCCTGCAATTTGGGGGCCAAATATCGACCAGCGATGTACAGTATAATATCCCATCGACTTGTACTATCTCTGAGGCCCCGAACGGTGTTTTTTGGGGAGTCGCATAGGGCCGTTCAGTGGGCACCAGCGCCAGAAATCAAGCCATGTTGCATTTGCTGGTTTGCTCTCCCCCTAGAGGGAACATAGCCCCTTCTCACTGCATCATGAAGTTCATGTTTCATTTCATTTCACGCATGAAGTCGTTTCTGACGAAGCTCGCATCATTAATAATTCAAAGGAAAACCAATCAGCAAATGTCTTTTTCGCATCTGCACTGCTCGGAGCTTGCGCCGGTCGGTGCTCCAACCGGCACCCTGAGTGGATGGTGGAAAGATCCGGAGACCAAGGCATCCATGTGGGGGCAAGGGAATGCAGAAGTCCAAGATGAGGAACACTAAGTCATAGGAGCACGCAGGAGGCTTTGTGGGACACCCTGAAGAGGAAATGGTGTCATTATAGTAATAAGGGTAATAATGGTATGGAGCAAAATTGGCTCCAAAACGGATCAGGTGGACGAGAAGGACAAGGTCCTCCGACTGAGACAGCCCAAGTAGCTGGACGGTGCGAGCAAAATGGTCCTGGAGAAACGTGATGGCCATGCTAGTAGCTTCTTGTTACATGCTAGTAGCTTCTTTAACTACTAGCTTCTTGTTACTACTAGTAAGGCACCTGTTACTACTAGCGTGGCACTTGTTTCTACTAGCTTCTTGTTACTGGTAGTAATGCCCTTGTTGCTAGTAGCGATGCACTTGTTTCCATCTGACATCAACCCTCCAACTTCAGCTCCACCAGACCCGAACTTTGGCAAGTTCGAGGTTTCTACATAAGCTGCGGGAGAGTTGCATTTGCATCAAAGTTATATATATGAGAACAAGTCAAGTTTTGAACTTGTCTTATAGAAGCTTCAAGATTGCATCTTGACAAGGTTGCTTTTCATTCCGCGACGCAAACACCAGCACAGCCCCTGCCAATTGCACCGCAAACACGTCCACACCAACACACTTGGAGCGCCCCGCAAGCTTTTCACTTCTTTTTGCTTTTGGACTTCGGCCCAACACGAGGTTTTACCTGGCAAAGGACCAATGCCCACATGGCGCGCAAAACCCAAAACGCCCAGTCGGGGCGAGCTTCTTCGGTGACTGAAATATGGGAGTGAGAGAGGAGTCACTGACGCAAAGAGTCAGCGACTCCGGGATCCAAAAACAAATGGCCTGAAAGCTACAACACAATAGTTTCTCCAAGAAGCTGTTATTGATGTAATTATGCAATCGACAATACCCCGGTCACAAGTTTGCTTCACAGCGCACCGATGATCGACCTTTACATTTGGGTGTCTACTTTCACAGAGTCAACCTGAACTCACTGCTGGCCTTGCTTTGTGCCTCCTGAAAAGCTAGGGGCGTTGATTCGGGACGGAAGATTCGTTCGAACCAAATCCCCCTGGGATGGTGTCGTGGAACCTCTCAGGTGTCCTGGACAATTCCCACAAGGACAACAAAACACAAGGCTTTTCAATGAGTGTGACATGTTCATTTTCACCTGGACGGGAGACGTTTTTGCTGATACAGTACCGTTCTTCCCAATTCCATGACCTGATCATAACATATCATAACTATGGTTTGCGTAGGTGGGAACTGCTTAGGGGTGAGAGGCCTTTTCACACCCACTCAGATAAGGAACATCCATTGCCCTCCCCACCAAAATGGCTTACTAGGGAAATGAGATAGGGAAGCAGCAAGATTTAAGAGAACTAAGTGGCTCGTCCGAATTTCAGCACTGGCATACCGTTGATTCATCGCTTGTGGCTGTATTTGGAATGGCTTTTCCTGACTGTGAATGAAGAACTCTTGGACCACTTGCTTGATCCACTGGGGGAATACCGCAAGAGCATGATGAAGCCCTACTTTCCCATTATGTTTCAATGAGAAGCAACGGTACGAAGAGGAGTTTGTAGTTTGTGGTCTTTTACTTGCAGCAAGTTTCAAGGTGCTCATGACTTTTGGCAGTTCCGGTGGTCACACTCTGACACTCTGACACTGGTTTTCAGTTAACGCAAGTCACGTTGGGAAGGAAGGTGAGAGAACAGAAAGGTGCATGGGTCCGAGCACTTGAAAGGTTTAACATTGTTGCCATAAATCGGCGGCGCGGCTGCTGGGGACGAGTATGTTTGAGGGTGATAGCATGAAGAACCATGGAAACAAACAAAGCCAATTAGACAGCGTGGTCAAAAGTTGCTGTGGCAGGTACGTCACGGTGATCAGCCGTGATATCCTAGTCAACTGCATGGAGCTTCATTGGCGACAGCCATGCAGCGACTCTGTCGCCCCCTGCCTGTGTAAAGTGGAAAGAGTGGTGGTGGAAGACCCTTTGTCCAGGGTTGGACACACACACACACATTCCAACATATCCACCTTCTGGGGGAATCGGCTTTCACTCTGTTAGAGCCAAAAGAACGTGCTTTCAATTGGCCCGGCTTGTTTCACCTAACCTAGTATCGAGGGAAAAGCTGTCTGGAAAACCAGTTGAGATGGTAAAGGGGCCCCACAAAAGCTTCAGGCTTTGAAGTCTCCATCAACAGGGATCCGATCCATCTGGGTTGGTTTTGGGGAAGCAAGTTGCCTTCTGATGAAGTTAGACTGAGTTACTGTATATATATGTATATAATATATATCCTTGAAAATATACTCTCGGTGAAGAAACTAGATGGAAGCCTGCAAAGGAACATGGAGCCTGGAAAAGTCTCTATGCATACTTAAGCAATGCCATCTCTTCCGTGAATAAGTGTCATTCACTTCATCAAGAAATTGTTCAATGACATTCAGTGGCTCCTCTTCCCGCAGCAACTTGTCCATGGCTTTTTGAGCCAGCTTCTCCTGGAGCAAGGCCCAAAATCCATCAAAATCCACTGGTGAACACTCGCTGTTCTAGTTTTGCACATTAGTTGACCTTTCCAAAACCATTGCGCTTTAAAGCCATGAGGAATCGTGCAACTGAGGTTCCTACAGCAAAGTTGAATCACACCATCGGCCTAAGTGTGGTCCAAAGTGCTAGATGAATCCATGCAGTTTGGAACCCACCAACCCACCAAACCGTCCGGCAACCAGGCATTTGAGAATGGACAATTATATAGTCTTGTAATGTTATGTAGATGGAGAACAACTGAGCAGTGAAAACGCATCACGAGATTCGACGACTCTTGCACCAAATGTCTTGTTGAGAGGTTTCACTACGGGAAACCTACAAGGGAAGGTTTCACCTTAAACCCAACAACAAGGGTCTAAAACACACTACACCGCTTCATGTTGATCTGTCATCTACCATTCAGTCTCCAACCCCTCGGCCACTCTCGCTGGGACTCTCATACTCCGCACAGGTTCCGCGGAGGCTCCGCGGAGGCTCCGCGTGCTTCGCCTGTCTTGCTTTCTCTTCTTCAGCCAATTTGGCCTCGACCTCCTTTCTCTTTTCCGCCTTGGCTCCACATGCCACCTATTTCTGACCCCAGTTGTAGGAGGATCGCTGATTGGAATGCACATCAGTTTTGAAGGTTGGCAACAAGTGGAATATACCAGCAACAAAAATTATCAGGTGAAACTCACAAAGCATATGGAGCATCGAATACTCTGCCTTCTCAATCTCCTTCTTCTGCTTCTCCTTGTCCTTCTTGACCTGTCATAGGGTGGTCACTAGTATGTGGTCCAAATGAGCCCAGCCCCCATCTATTCATTGTCCTTGAGCAATGACAATTCTGCGCACAAATGGTCCAGGATGGTTAGATCGCGTTTTCATTCTGCTGCTCCTACGGGGCTGCTACCAGGCTGGTTCCTTCACTTGCACATGGCTTTAGCAGCCTTTCCAAAAAAACACTGAACGCTTCCGCTTCCCCAATTTTGATGCCTCCTTCTTCTCGGCGAGTTGTTGCTTTTGTTGCCGCCATAAATGCACAGCCTGTGAATTTGTAGCGGTGGCCAGTAGCCAGCGTTTCTTTGTGTCTCCTTGCAGTGCCACCTTGATACAAACCAACTACTGCCATGCCCATGCCAACTGTAAGCAAGCCGGAAGTTCAATGTAGCTCAACAATATCAAAACAAAATAATCAACAATCTGGACTCGGACTTATGTACTCTATACTATATATACTGTATAAGTGTCCAAAAAATAGTAAATTTGTGTTAGGCTCACCAATGTTACTGTAGGCATCCCTGTGTGTATTACCCAGGTGGGGTTATGTCCCCCATTTTCTAGCACCTAAATTGCGGGACATGGATCTGACACTGGAAAATGGGCGTGCACCCCACTAGAAAATAGAAGGACATAGATTCCAAAGGCTAACAGTAAAAAAACAAAGACTCACTAGAAAGTGGAAAAATGACATATCAAAGATGTTTATGTTTGTGGCCTTCAAGGTCATGATCCCTATTTTGGCTTCATCAACATTGCAATTTATAGTAAATGGGTGGTTTTGTTCCAAATCACCAAATATAGGTTACTAGAAAAAACACCATTTTCTAGTGGCCATAAGGCCCAGCATTATCCAGTGAAAATGCGCACAGGGATCTGTAGGCCAACATAACTGCCAACATAGGCCAACACATCAACATTGCCCATGCGATGGCCTCCTAGCGATGGCCTCCACCCTAGTAGCGATGAGCTCCAACCTAATAGCGATGGCCTCCAACCTACTAGCGATGGCCTCCAACCTAATCATATAGCGATGGCCTCCACCCTAGTAGCGATGGCCTCCACCCTAGTAGGGATGAGCTCCAACCTAGAATCTCAAACCCCACCATTGCACAACTCTGGACGGATTTGGCCATACATAGTGCGCCAAACCCACTGGCAAGGATAAATTTGACCAATACAATACCTGTGGGTCCCTTTGTTGCTTTTTGGGGGGGCCGCATCCATATCACATGTCACAAACCAAAATTTCACAAAAATGCCAAGCATCTCAGAAGAGTGGAGAAAAACACAGTCACACACGACGCCCCGATGGGCCTGGTTGAAAATGTGATTATTCCTGGCCACAGAACACGTCTTCGAAATCGTGAGCTGGTCATCTGGTCTTCGGACTCTTACTAGTAGCGTCCTTGTTACTAGTAGCTTCTTGCTCCTAGTAGTAAGGTCAGGAGCCCCTAGTAGCGTCCTTGCTCCTAGTAGCGATGCCCTTTGCTCCTAGTAGCTTCTTGCTCCACCTCAAGAAGCTGACACCAGGGCCTCCCTCCAAGCCTGTCTATGCTATGTGCATAGAACACACCTAACATGTGGGCACAACATATGTCCGTATCTTGACGTTCAAACCTTCAGAAGGCTCTGCATCAACTCAGCTGGAGTGCCCCAAACTTAATACTTCATAAACTCAACACGGCAATCTCCTTCCAATATGTTTGACCATTTCTTCATATATCAGGAGCCCTCAATACAAGCAGGCAGGACCATCCAGGCTCTAGAACTCCGGCTTCTGAGACCTCTCTCGGTGTGAGGCGGCGAAAGCGCTCGAACGTGCCGTTTGAGTGGCCTTGAGGAGTGGACTTCACCTGGATTCATCAATGAGAACCTGTGGCACGTGCGTGGTGATCTTCTACCTCGGGCTTGATCTACTGGTTAGTTAACTTGCTACATAGGTTTACTAAGGCCGACAGGCATACTGAGTGCCAAAATAGTCAGTGTGGCTCAGAGATGAGTCCAGGTGTGAGGGCTCAAAGCTCGCAAAGAAAAAAGAAAGGCGGTCTTTGGCTCCTGGCATCCCGGCGGACATCTCACATATGTTGCAGTTGATCAACATGATGTTTCCAAGGGGCCAGGAATTGAAATTTGTTGCACAAATACACACAGTAGTATCTTTCCCAGATCTTCCGCAACACCGTCGCGAAGAATCTTCCTAGCTGGCATGTGCTGGAACCTGACAATTCCACTAGTGACTAGCATGCTGTAGCGCGGTGCACACAGAGTGCTGAGACTTGCGAGGCGTTGCAGCTACTTCCTACCTTGAGAACAATCCTAGAGGAGGTTGAGAAGTGAAAGCTTCAAGGGAAAAATTGGGATGCAACATTGGAAGCCGAGAGGAGATGATAATGATACAAGGGAAACCTTCGATAGGTTCAAGCTTGTCCAGCTATGGGATGGACATGAACGGACATGTGGAACAGGCGCACAAACACGGAACTCACCGACTCTCACACTATCCCTCATCTTCCTTGCTGTCCATTTGCATTTGCCAAGCTACACAACTCGTGATCTCTTCGCTGACCAATCGCTCTGCCTGCCCCAACAACCATGCTGAATGTTCATCACTGATGGAATACCACTCAGGGCATCGCTTGGAACATTTTTGACATTAATAGCTCTGCTCTGACAAAGGCGGCAACACCCAACACTCGCTACCTGCTTCCTCAGCAACACTTCCGCTTCAGACCCAGACTCTAAGACGTCTCCCAGAATCTCTCGAAACTGGACCAAGTCACCAGTCAGCCGGTGAACACGACGACCTGGCCTCCAGGAGTGAAGCCCAGTAGCGTTCGGAGATCAACTTTTGCTTCCACAGGTTCCAGTTACCTGGCAGCATGTGACAAAACTAATTGAAAGTCAAATCATTTGATGAAGAAGTTTGCACACCATAGAACCGATAGAAGACCTGGAAACCTCTGTTTAGACTCCAAATTGACATGGGGATCAGTTGCATGAACGACGGTGAACGACAGGGTATGATGTCACAGTTCAATTGCCAAAGGGCTGCTCTCCATGGATGTCAATCTACCAGGGTTTGGGCGTTTGCTCTAGTTTGCCTTTGAGCTCCTTTCCTTCTTCACCAGTATATCATAGTATCTACTATATTGCATAAATATATATGTTTTTATATGTTTATATACAGTACACGTGCTCTCTACTCTCTACTCTCTACTCTCTCTCTCCCCCTCTCTCTCAATCCTTCTTCGCAAAAGGCCCCATCAATGACCCCTCATGTTGTCAAACACATTTCAACCCCAATGGAGAAGGTGGCTGTAGAAAGACAGGGGCGCTGCAAATCTTGCAGGTCCTCTTTTCTGCCACGGCGTTAGATGCATCCGGCTTCTGTTCCCCAGCAACTGCACAATAAAGCGGGGGGAGCAGTAGCCACTTCGTCAACAGGCGGGTCTCGGTCAATCCCTGTCAGCAGCTGAAGGACTTGGAGGTCAGCATTCACAGCCGCCAACTGGAACGCTGTGGCACCTGTTTTGGTGACCTTGTCTTTGTCTGCCCTTGCTTCTAGCAAAAGGCGGACCACTGATGGGTCACCACTCACCACAGCCAAATGAAGAGCCGTTAAACCATCACTGGTGACATGGTCTTTGCCAGCACCAGCTTGCAGCATGAGCTGCAGGATTCCTAGTCGGCCATGGCAAGCAGCAAGATGCAAAGCAGTTTCTCCATATCTCATGGCTTTCTCTAGATCAGCAGCAGCCGCGAGCAGCAGTTGCACTGCTTCCATGTGACCATTCCCTGCTGCCATATGCAAAGCTGTCTTTCCAAAAAAGCTCACTTTGTCTATCTCTGCCCCAGCCTCAAGCAACAACCTTAGAGCTTCCGAGTGGCCATGCCTTGCTGTCTCATGCAAAGCGGTCGATCCATCGTCCTGCGAGAACTTCGCTGTATCAGCACGAGCTTGAAGAAGCAGCTGCACCAGTTCCGGGACGCCCGTGCGGGCAGCCAAAACCAAAGCTGTAACTTTCGACCCTTTGTCCACTTCTGCTCTGGCTTCCAGCAGCAACTCTGAGCATTGTACATGACCCGCTCCTGCAGCTGCTTGCAAAGGGGTCCTGTCAGAGCCATCTGTGATCTCTGGGGTCAAAGGCTGTTGCAGTAGTGCTTCAAGATCCTCCACCCGATCATCATCACATGCCGAAATGACTTGGCGGCCTTGCCCAGATTCTGGGGTCTTGAAGTCCAGAATCAGAAGCTGCACATTTAAAGAACACACCAGATCATCATCATTCAACTCACTGTGTTCTTCCCCCAGCCATTTCTGCCTGAATCGGGGAATTCCAATCTGCTTGGCCAACTCAGTCTTCAGGGACCTCACCGATTTGCCTTCAACTTCATGATCAGCGAACACAGCGACTTCATCACCCGACAAGGCCCAAATGTGGAGCATGCGGAGCGGATTTGAGGCTCACTCTGACTCTGTTGTCCCGTGTTGTCCCATGAGACGGGCTGGTTCCCCATATGTTCAAACGCAATGGAACAGCCTTCTGGGGGACAAACAATATGCTAACCATCTTACAATGTTCTTGTTTACAAGAAGCACTGCAGTTTTGATAGCCATTCAAATCGTATCCGCTCAGTGATCTCCGGACTCCCTTACAAGAACTTGCATCCTGCCTGGCTTGTCACGTTGGACTTGGTCTAGTCTATCCTCGGCGCCGGTTTCTGAACCAACTGGCTTGATTTCACAGAAGCTGGATAGGAGAAGGTCGTCAGTGATGGCTGATGGGCTTCGACACTTTAAACATCCAATAAATCTGGAGATTGATATGCAAATAGAAAGCTCCCGCCGTAGACTGCTTGGTAAAGAGAAAGGTGGCGACCAAACCAGTAAATGGGGGTCTCCCTACTTCACACCCAACCCTCAGGAACGTCAAGGGCCCCGCGAAGCAGCTCACCAAACGCCTCAGCAACAGCTTTTCACGGTTTTTCACGGCCTAAAAGCAGGGCCGGCTGTGCGCCCAATGGATCTTTGTGGGGTTGAGTGTTTGGGGTAAATCCTATGTAAGCTCATTCCGTCCTCCCTTGCCACGGCAAGCCTCCCTGCGCAGGATTTCGATGCTTTGGGACTGGGATTTAGTAAATTGAACAACTAACATGGATCATGCAAAGGATGGGTTTCAGAGTTTCAGAGGCTTGTTTCTCAGTGGAAGCAAGGGTGGAACAAAACTGCTGTGAGTGACCACTCAAGAAGCACTTCAACCAAATCATTGATGTTGCATAAACATATAAATAGTTTGATAATGTTTGATCTACAGTAGTCAGTAGATCTATATAGATCTATGACGGTTTTCAACGACACAATCTGGAAGCATCTCCAACGCCAGGGAGGTCCCCTCATTCGGAGACCCAAACATGGAGGCCTTCCTGTCTCGGGGTCCCACTTCATCAGCGCATGCTGCAAGACACGCCGCTCCTCAACGCGGAGACACGAGATCTTGAGCATTGTTGGTCTGGGTAGGTCTGTTCAGAAGAGCTGAGACTGCCCACTAACCAACAGTCATGCTAGCGGTGTTAGCCTTCGACGGAAATGTTCTACAACTCACCAACGGTGTGATATTCAATATTGCCTGCGGGGGAGCCCCGTGCTTATCGAGGAGCACAGTGAAATAACATGAAATAACACATCCACCGGAGTCCTTGACATTGGCCCATTGGTGCTCTAGTTGGACACAAATGACAAACGCACATTATAGACCCAACTGAGCACTCTTCGACGCACTTGCAGCGAGCAACCAAGATAGGAAAGTCTAATTGTTAGGCTCTGCTGACAAAGGGACTGCTGTGGGATGGAATTTTGTTGGCTTGGATGAGTGTGGGAAGGATTGTATATACAGTACATGCTTGTACTATATAATGTAGACACAGCAGGAAGCAACGTCTGACAGTGCGTGAAGCAGCATCTCAGGATATCTCAGGTAATTTCCTGATGTTTTGCCTTCTACATCCTTCAACTGCAGTGCTTGTAGACTTTGTCCTACTTGCTGCTCCTCCTGGCTCAAGACTTCCCGGATCCAAGTTTCGGGCGCCTGGCGGCAAAACATCCACTGGCGCTGAACTGTTCGACATGTCATTAGTGTTTTGTTTGGTACTTGCATAGAGTGCAGGATAGGAAGTGGCGAGACAATCCAATTTGTAGATCAACAATCTGTCAGGTCAAGCATGTGACCTTATAGATTGTACACTCCGACTCACTAACATGGAAGTGGAAAACCTCCCATTTGTAGAGGAAAGTCGTCTTCCAGGGGCCCATCTTCCACTTCCGTCTTAGTGGCTCAAAGATGGTTCGTCCGGTCAAACCTGTGGGGATTCGGCCGTGCTCTAGTTTGGATCCAAGCTGGCATCTGGTATGGTTAAAAGAACAGGATGAATCAAAACGATTCAGTCGACCTCTGACCAACCGCGCCAAGATGGGCCACTCTCCTCTTGTATTCAATGTCACTCCTAAGATGGCGCAAGAAAACAAAGATCCTATGCCATCCTCTGAACCAAAACATGATAGAATTCGCAAGCGACCACATCGAACATCATGGATCATCAGGATTCCATGTCGAACAGCTGGGCCCCTTTTTCGTTCATGACTTTTGAAGAAGAAGAAGAAACTAGGTTCACCTTGCTCAAATTGGATAATGCGTTGCTTTTCTGGGGTGTGAAGTGTGACCAATCCTTTGTGGTGCTTCTTGCGGTGTCCACCGCCTCGTCATCCTCCGGAGCGTCGGGCACTTTCTGCTTCCGCATCCGCTCCTTCCTTGCAGGGTCGACTTCTTGATCGGAAGAACACAGTACGGTGTTTTGGTTGGAAGATGTTAGAACGAACTGCGATATAGATAGCTTTCCCAGGCTCTTTCACACCTACATTGACCTTCTGGAACCCCTTTGTAGCATTGTATACCTGTGGGCCTTGCTCTCAAAAGGTATATTTACGCGCCAACTGAGTCGTTGAGCAGCTTTCAGCCTGTGCGGAACATCTGTAAACCTCTTTTTCGATTAGACGCTTTCCCTCAATGTCTCAGAGTCTGGCAAGTCATAGTAGGCGTTGATCTCTGCTTCAGACAACTCACATTGGTACCTCGAGAACGTTCCTTCTTTCAATGAGAAAAGAACTATTGAACCTGCTTCTGGGATTCGGACGATGCATTGAACACCCACCAGATTGAAGTGAGCATGTGGGTCGAGTGCATGGGACCAACATGGACCAAGTGAGATCTCTTGAGCTTTGCTTTTTGTTACTTAGCCATACTTAGCCCCTCTAGATCCAAACCTCTGCGGAGGCGCAAAGACTCTGCAGACTTCAGGGGGACACCCGTGTATGTCTAGGCTACACCTGAACGGACTGACGGCCTTTTAAAGTAGTTTAAGTGGAGAGAGTCATTAAGGTCCTCTTCGGATTCCTTTTGTGTTGGTGAGGCAGTCTTCCAAAGTTCGCTGAATTCAAATGAAGCGTGAAGCTCAAGAAAGGTCCAAGACTACAAACATGTGAGTCGAGCAACGCAAGCCAAGCTAAAGCTTTCGGGGCGGTGCAGTCCGTGCTGCAGGGGTAAACATAGTAAACATCAAACTACCAGTGAACTGACTCACCTTTGACCTGGCATCACATGTTCTCAAACTTACTGGCCAAAGTTGAGCAATGTCCAAGCATTCAAGGAGAATGCTCTGCCACGGGCTGCAACAATGACCTGAGGCCTTGTGCCTTGTGACTTAGTGGCCCGCAAAAATCCAAGAGGATGCAAGATGTCTGCAAGGTGGAGTTCACTGGTCACTATTGATGTGCTTGGGAAAAAAAGCAGCAAAAACAAGACATGCTTGATGGAAGAAGTCCTGCACCAACTGGTCGAGAGGGGAAGGCATGGTAACGCTATGGTTTGGATCCTGTGCACCAGTGCACGTCTCGGTGACAGGGCACGTCTCGGTGACCGCCTCCAGGGAGGCGAAGGAGGAGTCTAGGAGTCTAGAAAGAGAAGACCCATTAGCGATCGAAAAAGACATGAGAAACAAAAAAGATATGCAATGAAGACAGAGACTCGGTTTTGGGGTACCAAAAACCATCTAAGCTAGAATCCCAGTCTCATCAGAGTTTTGGATTGTTGGGAATCCAGAAGCAGCCGCTTCTGAGAAAGTCTTGCAGTTCGGCACAGAAAGTTCCACCCCCATGGAGGGTCCCAAACATTTCATTATCAATTAACTACTCCCCAACGGTACATCCAACGGTTCGGCCGCCTCAACAAAGAAGTCGCTGGGCCTGACAAAAGGCAAAATGCAATCCAGGAGCATCAATCACAACCCGGTGTGTTTTATCTGACTATTTTTGTTTATTGTATTGTGTCTAAATCAAGGGCCTACAAAAACAGAGTAATATGTGGAGAGGTATTTAATTGCATCTCAGTCAGTCAGCTACCTCAATTGGTAGGATCGAAGCATATCGAAGCTAGAATATGCCCTTGATCAAAACCTCTTCTTCTGGTGTCCCTGTGCCCAGGGTTGATAGCAAAAAGCATGCAGACTGTGAAAACAAATGCTGGGATATGTCTATGACTATGAGTCTATCAACAAAGGTCATTTGTTCGACCTCCACACCGCAAAAGGAACTTGATGAAACTGATGTTCAGTCGTAGTGCTTGTAGACACTTGAAAATTCAGCAACCTTGACTTTGTTTGGCAGAAAAGAGCTGTCCTTTTAAATATGAGTTGGAACATATCAGGCTGCTTCGAAGCGAACCAGGTCTCTTTCAGCGGACCCATCTGGCTGAGCTTTCCCAACTTTGACCCTCTCCATGCCACATAGGCCATCCTGGCAGATCCGCTTGTTGACACCCGCTCAGCGGATTCACCAGCTTCTGTGGCGGCAACTGCTGTTGGAGGACATGACACTATTCGGCTAGACACGCCTTTACAGTACTTCACATTCTCAAAAGAAGAATGTGGAAGACCTCAAACTAACGATGTGTTTTGTGGCTTGTCCCATTTGAGCGATTCCAAGTACCATCAGGTGCCGGCTAGAGCGCAACACTGCGCAACACATGCAGTCTTCCCACATGGAGGCAGCTACAGCAACCACCACGAAGAAGATGACGGCCTAGGCCATTGCACATGAGCCAAAATGATGCGAGTGTCTCAAGCTCGACTGGAGGGACAGTTTGTACGTAAAAGTAAAACCATGGACCACACAGTGGATTCCCCCGCCTCAAACCCAACCAAATCAATTTGTGTTGTCTGATTCATTATACGTTCTTTGGATGTGACGGAAACAATAGACCCATTGATTGACAGCAGGTGGGTCAATCGCTGAGCTTCCTCGAAAGCGATGCTTCCAGTTTCCTGACGAGTTTGAATGCCAACTAGAACATTGATAAGCTTGTCGTCCCACATGCTCCACCTTTGGGCCATGTCGGAACAAGAACTCGCTGATCATGAAGTTGAAGGCAAATCGGTGAGGTCCCTCGAGATGGAGCTGGCCAAGCAGCTCGGAATTCAGAAATGGCTGGGGGAAGAACACAGTGAGTTGAATGATGTCAAACGATTACGCAAGTCTTCAGGGTTCATCACATGTAGCTCTTGATTCTGGACTTCAAACCACCTGAAGATGGGTGAGGCCAGTTGCGGCTTTCCACCTGCGCAAATCGGTTGGATGATATCGATACTGATATTGAAACACAGCATGGACACCTTGACTGGTTCGGTCAATCCGGTGTTGACCCCTCGACCGGGCGGATTTCCGTCTCCACCTCAGTCGAGTTCCCAAATGGCCCCCGACGAACAGCAGAACTGAAGCCATGGCAAGCAGGATTGGTGAGGAATGGCGAAGTAGTGGGGGATATCAAAGCGACCCCCACTGAGTGCTGGGGAGTTGGAAATTCCACCTGGGAGGTCCTCCGGCAAGTACGTTTCGGAGATGTTCTCGAAAAAGGTCAGGTGGTCTTGAAATCCTTCAACAGAGTTCGGCCCAGGTGGGAAAACAGAACCGATGAGATCAGCTCTCGCCTGGGTATGATGTGGGCCGATGAGGAACCCTCTCAGGATGGTTGGACTCAGCGTGGTGAGGGCAAAACTGACTCCAAAAAAGGTTTAAGAAGCCTTTCTTTCTTCATTGATCCCTTTGGTACCCACAACGACTTGGCACAAAAGCACAAACACACACACAACACACACCTCTCTGTTTGACTTCACTTCTTTGCTTCAATCCAATCAGAGCTGCCTATGCGTGCCTATGAGCTAGTATGAGCTGTGTGGCTACTGTGGCTACCATGTGGCCAAATATTCTGAATTTCCTCTGCCGAACGCTGAGAGCTACTGTCTTCCACTGCGTGGTGGTCTGGTCCCACGTGATCAGCTTGAGCGACCGGCGAGGCCTTCTTGGCCCGGTGGAGACTTGGGAGGGCATGGAGCACAGTGGCACTAAGGGTCCTGATGCAACTATGCACTAGCATGTATTTATCTTGATCTTTATGCTATTAAATAGATGGACCAACCGAACGTGCGCATGCTGTATGTGTGAGAGAGACAAAAAGAGATTCGACCTTGGGTTGGCCAAAATGATGGACTGCACCGGCTTCAGCTCCCAGTGGTCAACTCCAACATGAATCCAACTTTTTGTCTATTGATTCTCAACTGGCCATGAAGGCAAAACCAACCATTCTGAGTTTGTAAGAACTGGGTCACCTCTTCTGCCTCAAGCCGCGCGACTCGTTTTCCGTCTTACACTGGCGCGGAGGTGCTTTCCGTGGGTGACGGTGTCACCGTGGCCTCACCCTTTGGCGAGGCCGTGAGTGCCTCCGCGTTTGGGGCCAGTGGTAGGAGGTTCTTTGGGCGGGATTTCCGGATCTCCCACGAGAAAAACATACTAGAAACCATGTAAAGAAATGACTATTGTATATATTTTATTCTTCCTGCTACCGCCAGGTTATGGACGGGTCTCCGGTCTTCACGATCTCCTTTTTGAGACACTAAGTAGGCAGTAGGAGGCGTCCCTCCAATACTTGGACCCCACAAGACACAAAGTAACTCCGTCTAACTTACTGATATGGGTGTGGCCCAACAGTGCCATCCAAAATATAAACAAAAATAAATGGTTGATCTTCAGCCAAACATATTCATACAACATTGCCAATGCAATTTGGACATAAATCACCAGCACCACCCAACATGACCGAAACCTCGGCAAGGAAAATCATCTACTACTGCCATGTCTCCAGGCCAATTCGCCGTGACCGTTTCTTTTCCATCGCCGTCTGCAGCTTTTCCCAGTGGCATCGTCCCTTCATTCTCCCTGCGATCTTTGTTTCGCAGCTGATGCTCTTTGGTTCAACAGAACAGTGGGGGTGTGCCTCAGAATCTGTGGACGGATTGTCCCAAACTTCCTCCCGCTTTCACATGAGATTATCCTTACCGGGCTTTTCCTTGTAGTTGATCGCTGTCACCAACGACAAAGAAAGAAACAAGCATCATTCATACTGGTATACGAACTGGGTCGGCTTCTCTGAAGTCACACCCATGAAGCGTAGATCATAGCAGACTCCCCATGGCCGATACTAAATGTATCGACCACGGAGAAGGTCAGACCGACATCATTGCGGGGTGATTGATGTCCCTATTATTTACACGCAAAGGAAACGAATGGAAACAAAATGACACGAACATGGGACCTTCTTTCAGGACAAGTCCTTTTCTGTGTTCTCCTCTTTGTTCAACTTTGTTCTGTGCATAGTTTAGATGTTGAATCAATAAAGTGCCGATGCGTTTACTCTCGGCCTCGGTCCCATGCTTCTTTGGCTCGCTAGGTGCCCCCAGTTTGGGCTCTCAGAAGGGCAGGCGACGTGGATGAAAGATGGTGCCGCAATAAGGGATTGGACCATCCTTGGTGATTCGGTGACTGACTGGCTGAGCGACTGGGGGGACGGGTGTATGGCGAAAAGGTGCGTTTTTGCCGGACTCGAGGCTTTCTTGCCTTGCTACTAGTAGCTTCTAGCATCTTCTAGCTACTAGTAGGCCTTCACCTAATGGGCGTCCTTGCTACTAGTAGCTTCTTGTTACCAAACAATCTCAGGGAATGTCGATGGAAAATCACTCACGGCAAGTTGGATGAATGTATATAATATCATATAATATCATATAATTACGTTCACTCATGGAATCACAAACCAATGCGAAGTACTCAGGTGCATAGTGCATCACTCAAATTAATCCAAATTGATTAAATGATTAGTAAGATATATTAAATGCATACACTGAATCTCATCTAATTCCGCCCCTCTCCCTCTCTCTATCTAGCCTATGCTCCTGATGCGTACAGTACACAACACGTCCAAAAGCAATAGCAAAGGCTCTGGACCAAGAGTGATGGCCCGCACCAAAGACACGATCACGATCAGGGCTGTTGCATTTTTTGCCTCGGAGCAGGAACACCACAAACTAATGTCATGGAAGCATCGTTTCTAGAGGTAAAAATGCACAGTCTGCAGCAAACAGTCAACTAATACATTTGAGCGCTGGAAGATAGCAGCAAGCGTTCTCACATTGGAATTCTGATGATACTTGATGTTGTCCCCATCAAACAGCGAGGTGATGTGACTCTGCACTGTCACCACATCCAAATATGTGATTGGATGAAAAAGGCGACGGAAAGATACGGAAAGCAGGTCTACCTGGAGTCTACCTGGTCGACCCTTTTAGGATCACCCTGTCCGGGTCCTTCTCCAAGGAGCCAAGAGCTTTGCCTTCCCATACCATGGGGGCTGATGTTCCTGGCGGCAAAGTTGAACGTGTTTTTCCGAAAGCATGAACACTCAATTCTGCAAAAAAACAAGCTCAACACTGCAAAACCAAAGCACTGAGACACCTTGAACCTCCTATTGCCCATTGAAACCTCGGAAGCCCTGGTTCACCCACAAAGTCCGTCAAACATGCGGTTGTCGGCCTCCTGCATGTCGGCCAAAATGATTGCCAATAAAAAGCCGGCTAACATCCCTGCGAAGTGCCCCACAAAGTCCACGTTGGGCGAGATCGTTGACATCATGATGCAGCTGGTGCACCTTTCAAGCTGGTCAGCTGAGGGCCGACAAATGGTCTCCGGAAGCAGCAAATCCGAGGGTTCACCACCCCAGGATATTTGCAAACAACTAAACTCATTACATCCATCTTGAGTGGCGTAGGATTTCTTTTGAAACACAAGTGATGAGAGGAAAATCCAACTCGTTAATTTCATGTTATACAGTTATGTTTCGATGGGTGGTTAGTGACAAAATGAACATTGTGATAAAGCTAGCGCACTCACACTCACGCTTCAAAGTGCAGCTCAAACGGTGGAATATTTACCAACTATTCATGAGTAACACAACCGACACAACCTTTGTTGGAAGAGGTGCAAAGCAAAACATTGGTCACCCCTCCACACCTTGTCCCCTGGAACGACGGATCAGCTAGTGTCTATCTGCTAATGGATACCTCGATACATCCACATCGAACAAACATCCCTCCCAGTTTCCAAAGCTATATGAAACCACCAGTCGAACCAAGGAATTCGTTGACTTCTTGGCTGAGCCGTGTAGTTTCAGTTTGGTACAGCCAAGTATCACATTGTTAAACCGGACCACCTTGTGCCTTTTAGGCCTCAGGGAATCTTTTGTTTTGGGAATTAAGACCTATACATTACAAAAACATTCACTATGGTGGTAACCAAACACCAATATAAACACCAACTCAACTCTCGGCAGATGGCATGCTGAAAAAAATTGTTCTTATATGTACAGTAATGTAATTCAACCAATAAAGTCCCAGTGCTTCGCTTGACTGACTGGGCGCATGAAGGCAAACCACAAGAAGATCCGTGAGCGACTCTCACCCAACCTCAGTCAAAACTCGGAGTGCTGGCACTTGTCAAATCCAGCTCATGCGGCGCTGCTTGCAGTTTGTAAATTGAAAAAACTGTGATAATGTTGGCGCCAGAAGGCCCCATAACAAAGGTGCCATTTGGACAAGTTGGAGTGCATATCCAGATTATTGGAAGACATTGGTGGATTATTTAGGAGACAGAATTCCACTACAGGACTGAAACATACTTAAGGCCAGTCCTAAGAGCATCTTACTACCGACAACTCACTCCCCATCCCTAACTGCAAGCATGTACAATAGTGCGTTTGCAAAAGTCATGGCAACCTCAAACACGCGTGCAGCCTCACCATCCTTTCAGGCTTTAAGGTCAGGGGCAAAGCGTGAGAATCTGTCTGGCTGGGCAAGAGGTTTTTGGGCTTGATGCCCGGACAATGTCCAGATTTTTCGTGTGTGCATGGTACCAGGCTGTCTTTCGGCTTCTACCCGATGTAAACAAGGCAATGCTCAGGACCTAATCGCACTCTGAACGTTGTACAGGCTGGCTTATAATCACTTCATCGTTCGGGGCAACATTTGGCTTGATCAAACATATTATATTACAGTAATTGTTAATATTTATCTGTTTGGCTCAGTTACCTTGATTGCCCCCAGTATGCTGCTGCCCTCCTCAGCTCCAACTGCCTCACCTGGCAATGCCAATGCCTCATCTCCAATTGCCACACCTGGCAATGGCAATGCCCCCTCTCCAACTGCCTCGCCTTCACCTGCTCGCAATGCCTCTGCAGTGGAGAGCGTTTTTTGGATCTTGATCTAGGTTTCTTCCATGGACATACGGCCTGTGCTTGCATTTCTTTTGCTGAGGGAGGGTACCCTGCCGAAAAGGGCTCAGTCTTGACGAGTTCTTCACCCAAGCCCCTTAAGAAGCGGCAATGCAAACCAAACTTTAAATACAGTCCCGCTTGGCACTGCCACACTTATGTCACAGACTCGGCAAATCTTGAAACAGCGTCGGGTGGGGATCTTCTACGGAGGTTGTTGGAATTGAACACATGGTTTTGCTATGTTTTGCTCGTAAGACAAATCTATTTCTTGGCGCGCATAGGGAATTTCTCGTCGCCAACAATGCTTGAAGACCACTGCTCAAAGAGGTTGGTGCCATCACGTGGCGCCGAGCGATGTGCCGCGCAGTATGGCAGGTCGAGTTCGTTCCATTTGGCATGGCTCATGTAGATGAGAGGATTGAGAGGCCTGAGGTTGGGAGCATGCGTTCCTAAGGGGGGAATCGCAGGCCGCGTGGTTTGGACATGTTGAGCCGTTGATCGTTCTTGAGAGAGAGAGAGAGAGAGAGACCAGGCGACCTGGCCAGGTATGAAGATCCTGCATGATCCTGCCAGTTCGTCTCGCTGGACCAAGGTATCTCGGGCATAAGTCGGCATCCGAAATAAATTTAACACATGCTCCATTCCCCAACCCCTTTATGGAAGAAAACACATAGATCAGTTAAAAGTGTTGCACCTCAAGCATCTCTCCTTGCCGCCGGCCCAGCAAAATTGATGATTATTGACATTGATTATTGATTATATAATTTATATGCAGTTATGTCTCCACCTATGCTACCTGTGGACCTGTGAGTCCTCCCTGTTGCACACTCTACTCCGCTTGCGCCCAGCCACAGGTCCCAGGTCAAGAGCACCTCGGCCGCCCAGACCCCGAGCAAGCCGAAGCCGCTGGTTGAAGCGCCCACCGCCAGCCTCAACACCGAGCAAGGTGAAGGGCCGGGGACCGGGAAAAAAGCCACGTGGACCGCCAAGGCCGCTAAGGCATGAAAAACTAGTAGCTACTTGCTCCTAGTAGTACGGCCAGGAGCCCCTAGCTCCTAGAAGTGATGCCAGGAGCCCCACGGTGAATTTTTGGTTGGATCTTTAGGATGGTACAGGGTTTGGACCTACAAGCAGATTGTTAACCTTGTGGGCCAACTGTAGCGGGAGCGCAACAAACATCTCAATGATCTCAAAGCTGCGTCATATAGTTATAGTTATAGTTGTTGGTGGTTTCTCGGGGTTCCACAATTCATGATGAGTACTAACCGCATAGGTCACTCTCCCCATCTGCCCAGCGGCTTCATAGGGTCCACGGCCACAGAAATCAAATTTCCCAGGAAGCCACAGAACCTGGCATTCCGCCATCACGTGGTCACGGCTTGGTGTCGTGGTGTGTTGATATTAGGGACTCTTGATGGAACATCAGCAAGCTCTAAAAGATCGATACTCAGCAAGCCATGGGCAAGTTAACCCGTGGCTGGCCAGGGCACAAGGTTGCACACAGAACCTTGCAAGGAGGTAAAATAAGCACTGAAGCAAACATACTCTCAGGAAGTCCCAAGAGTGCAATGCGCGTTCAGAGGGGCAATTGGTTCACGGAGATCTGCAATTCACAAAGACTATCGCGCTTGGTTGATTACTGAGGAGGGGGAGTCTTGCAACCAAACCCAAGCACGGAGCTTGTCTTGGCATGTCTTGGCCAAGCGTGGCAAGCATCTTTAGAAAGAAAAAACACAGGGCCCGCATGGCTTACAGAACGAGGCTAGGGTTTCATTACAGTCTGATTTGGCCTTGTGGTGGACGGGTAACCATACGATTCCACCGAGCATAGCCGGGCGGCATGTAGAGCAGGCAGAACTTCCGACGCCCAAACCTGGTGGGTGTGCCACGTGACAGATTGTTGTGGCTGTTTGCTTTGTACAACTCCCCTCCTAAGGGAAAGCTCATGAGCATCCATTGATCGGGTGCCCACTTGACCTGGCGTGTAACTCCACACACATGAGCAACTAACGCTTGAGATCATTGTCGAGCATCGACGGTAAGGAACATGCCAAAGTCCATGAGGGTGACGGTCAAGCAACCTAGAAATCATTTGTACCTTGCAATATCTTGCACTGTCACAGGCTACTGGATCATACCGTGGGAACTGGAAAAGGTTTTTTTTTTTCAAGATAGACAAGGTACGGAAAGCCAGGTGGAGCCCTTTCTCTTGCTTGAGATTTACTATGAAAGGCAAGGTTGCAGAGATTGGCACATATCACATATCACATATATATGTATATCACATATATATATAGTTCCATATCATTCCATGAAGGAACCACAGGGTACAGAGTTACCTGACCCCAGCCGTATTGGTGTCCAAACGCTTGGCTTTCTCAAACAGCATGAATGGTTTCAAGGCGCAGGTACCTGTTTCTGAATCCACTGCAAGGTGCTGCTTCTCCATACCAAATCCAATGCGCATCTGGAAGAAGAGATTGAAGAAAATGTGAAGTGCATTTGCCTCAGATCAACCCCAAAGACAAATGTCCCAAGGAATCGATGAAAATTCAAGAACATCTACTTTATCTATATTTAAGGACCTCAACAGACCACACAAACTGGACCAATAAGGTAATGGCCTTAATGGCATTGGTTTTGCGGATGTTCAGTGGGTCTCAATGGAGACTCCCAAAATGTCTCCACCCTTAGCGCAGGTTATGACAGTGTGGTGTACCCACAGCAGCGGTAAGATGGAGTGGAACAATCGTGGGAATGCTGCAATGTCACTTGATACGCAACACTCATTGACGACCAAAGTACACTTCCTCTCCGTCTCAAGCGATGCTCCTGGTACTTCCGTTTAAGCTCTGAGAGTCTGAAGCCGGCTCTTTACTGTAGGTGATCACAAGCAAGTGATTCAGCAAAACTGGATCGAAGTGCGACCTTTGGTGCTTTGGTGTCCCCACCCACAGCTCACCTGAGGAGGATAGCTTATAAATGAAACTATATAGTAAATGGTTCTATGTTCGGACCCTTTGAATCTTCCCGAAGATGCCGCACTAAGCGACCACGCATCGTCGCCTGACTCACCCGCAGCCCTGTTGCGTGGAGCATCATTGGCAACATGAGGCGCCAGACTGCGCCCTGCGCAATGGCCGGGCCCCACGAGGCGCCCAGGAGGTACAAAGAACAAAGTTTCGGAGATCCATAAGCCGAACCTTGCAGAAAGAGGCAGAAACATGCAGAATTGATGGGCCCAATGTATGACGAGTGATGCAGTGGGAGTTCTTCGGATTGGTCAATGTGGATGGATGATTCGTGGTGGCGCAACAAAGCAGCCATGCACGATGGATCTTGGGAAGTGGTTTGCTGACTTTTTGGTGCTGAACGTGTGAAGGTGGAGTGCCAAACACAGTGCGTTGCTGCCGGTGCACAAAGACAAACCCAGTCACTATAGTGTGAGGTTAAGAGGCCTTGACATGCTCTCAGCACTCTCAGTTCGGTTTGAGTTAATACTGCTTCGGAATACGCAAGGGTCTCAGAATGGAGGCCAGCAATCCTGCAGTGCATGTGATACTCCGAAACCTTGTAACCCTTGTTGCAGAAGGGGAATATAACATATTATATACACAGTATATCCAGTGGGTTTAACATTTCGACAAATCCCTTGACATGGTACAGTCGACATGTGGCACTGGAAAGTCCCACAGCCGATGGGTGACTGCCACTGCCAAGGAGCCTAGCAGCAAGGAGCCAATATATTCCTCAGCTTCCAGAACCGTCTGAAACCTCCCAAGCATCACATGACTCAGTGATGATTCAGCATGGCAAGACACACCCACACCTCTTATGGTGTCTGACGCAGTGCTTATGGTGAGTATGGTATCCTCCAGAAGTACACCGTTGTCAAATTCCATGCGATCGTCGACCTCCCTACTGTACGACCTCAAATTATGAAAAGTTGGGCTCCAACAAGACTTCTAGCCCAGCCAATACACCCAGGGTGACCTCCAAGCCCCAGTCACAAGAGTAACTCTCCATGATGACGGGGTTCTTATTATGAGCACCTGTGGCTGCAACTGTATTTTTCCCTAGCGCATCCTAGCCCCAAGCAAGCATTTTGCTGGAGCGCGGTAGAACAAGCGTTCACTATTTCGGGTAACTGTATACACACCTTTGACTCGGCTTGTCTGTGTAGCTACGCCTGGTCCTTGGCATTCCCCGTTTCTTTCCACCAAAAGATATCCAGCAAAAGAAGGAGACTTGACTGCGGTTTCTTCCAACTACAAACTGCACCCACTCAACAAATCCTGGAAACAATGATGTTGCTTGGATTCCCAGAAACATCTATACTTCACACTCAGATCTGCAGAACATGCAAGCATCACTTTTGTCTCGGCAACTTGGCTGAAGGCAGCAAACATGCTTGGCCATGTCCCGCTGTTAGTGAGTTGAAGTGAAAATTCCAAATAAAACGTCCTTCCCGCCGCATCATCCAAGGAGCAGTAATTTGCAGCATAGAGACACGCCAAATGAAGGTGTCGGTATTGAAGTTAGGCAACAAGGTGTCCTAGAGAGCCGAACAAGACTGAAGGCCCTGGACACAGAGTTTGAGAGAATCAGTCCCATTCAATTCGATTCACATGCTCTACTCCAAAGTTTCAGACTTCAGTGTATCATCCTGATTCTTACAAAACAGGCTGAGATTGGCAACCCATTTCCAAACAAGTCTAAGGGTATCTAGTTGTGATGGGGTCCATGCTGCACGCTGCCACTTCCGCCTCCACATTTCTCCACCAAGTGACTAAGAGGCTAAACTGCTGCACTGGAGCACTGGGCGGCACTGGCGCTGGGACGGCCGCGGACCACGGAGGGGCTGGTGGCGGCAGGGTGGGCGGAGGAGGAACCATCATCGCCAGCTTCATGAACGCAGCACCTGGGTCGGGCAAACCGGTTGACAAGTCAGACTTTAGAAAACAAAAGTAAACGGCCCTTTCCTAAAGCATGGGTCCAAGGTTCTAATGTGACATCTGCCATGAAAAAACACCTGGATGGAGACATGGCTATATATATTATGGTTGTGGTTTAGTAGGCCCACGTCCTCCTGAGCCATGACCCAAACCTGCCAGTTCTACTGAACTATAAACCTGAGGTTGAGTTCCCCGATCAACCACTATCAAGGTCTTGACTCGGTCTTGACCACTTAAATAAGGGCTTAAGGGGCTCTTGTGCAAACCTCATAGTGGTTTCAGATTAGGTCGCAGAATTTCCAAGGTGGTTGAAGAATAACATCCCAAAAAGACATCCTGCGGGGCCTTGCCAGCTACTTTGAGACCACTGATCACTGACCAGTCGAAGCTCATCAAACAGACTCCGATCACCAAGCTCCGCACTGGGCGCCATTGGCCCCATGGCGGACGCCAGCCCCAAAGCCTCAACCATCTCCTCGTGGAGATTGGCCGGGGATTTTCGCGGCGGTACGCGCGGTGGTTTGGACTGAAAATCCATAGGGACAATGAAACAATGTATATAATATAGGTCTTGGCATGAAGTACACCTGGAACCTACTAACGACAGAAAACTCAAGCTCGAGCTCAAACATGTTGATGATGCAAACCGCCACCAGGAAGTATCAAAGGCAGGAGGGCTTCCACTACCAAGCTCATTCTCCTTTTCTGCGGCTCAGCCGCACACGCCACTCTGACACTCTGACACTCATGAGGACGCGTTTTGCTTTGGAAAAATGCAATGCTCCCGAGCTGGCGCTCCCCATCGCTCCTGCCAAGCCGTCCGGCCACTATGATGTTCATCAGCACGTCTATGCTCCACTGAGTAAGGGACTAGACCTCAGTCAAACGCAGGACGACGCTGAAGGGGAAATGCTTGAAGGAAGAGCTGGCCACTGAGTTGTTAGGTCACAAACATGCCGAACATAATTCTATGTACAGTTGCTGTTTGGTTTCTGCCAATGAGGCTACTTGCTTCAGTTCGCTTCACTCCTCTTGGCATCGAAGCTTCTTGAGAACCAGCCCTACTTTCCCACCTCAATTAGACCAACGCCGGGTTGCTGGTCTTCGCAAGACGCGAATGTGGCAGGGGCACGAAGATGAAGTGTTCCCATGCCTCCTTTGATCGGCACATGGCTCAAATTCGCCACTGCACCTAATCGGCGAGGTTCCGTGAAGCAAGCCGAATCATCTTCCCTGCCTCTTGGACGTCTATGGTATGGATGTAGCATGATGTAGCACACATGTAGCCAAATGATTGTGCTTCGGCCATGAAATGCTCTCTTTGAACCCTACTCCTGCAGAGAAAACAAACAAATTCATAGCGTTGGGAACCTCAAAAAACTGTGTCTCTGGCTAAAGCCCCACAGGACAAGCAACTAACTTCAATGCACAGCATCACGCCCTGGAAGTGCGAATGCTTTGTTGGGCACAAGGCGGAGATCCCTCATATCTCCCCAAGCCGCGGGGTAGGCGATATCTGTCGCTCGAATATGTTACCTGCCACACACCCAAGAGGTTGAAGGACCAACCCTTTTTGTATCTTTTTGTGCTCTTTCTTCGCAGGCCTCGGGGGGTGAGCCCAGCAAGGACCTGTCCAGGCAGGATGCGACATTAGCTTTTTTGAGATCCTATGTCCTATGACTGGTGTTCCAAATAACTGAGCAGAATGATCTTCTTTTCTGAAAGTTATTGAACATCTGGATTTGTCCTTTGAGGCTTTAGCTTAGAGCATGCTTCTCTCTCCAACTTAAAGGCATGTTTTTCTGGTGAAGCCACCGGACCCAGGCACATCCCATGATACATCATGATAATACTGTACAACCCAAACATGTCCCGCTGATCTTCCTGAGGTTCAAACCAACCTCAAATATTATCCAATGATAGCAAGATATGATATAACAGCATTATCAATATTCGGCTGCTCCATATCTGCCCTTTTCTCTCCTGTTGGAAAGCAACAACGCCGGTTCAATGTGCATTCCACAAAATCCGCCTGCTGAAGTCTTCGCCGAAGCCGGGCACAAAGACCTGCAAAGGTTAGCTTGGTGGGTTCTTGTGGAACATGGATTTTGGCGAGAGTCAACAAATTGGTGTTCCCAAAATTTAACAATGAATGACAAAATTCTGCCGGAGTCGACTGCCAGCATGAAGCGACCGGTAGAACGGGATCCCCCCCTCGCCGGTGGGAACTTCTTGCCTCGATGCAATCCCAGGTCATCTGCCTCGGGTGGTGTCAGGGATGGGATGACATGGGACCAAGGTCGTTGATTCGGCAACATCTTGTCCACAGTCTATACACAACATCGAGGACCAGGAAATTGACAGCTACTTGGCAAAGCACTTCAGTCCGCAAACAAAGCTATTCTCTCTCTGACCTGATCCCCAACCCCGCTCACTCAAGCAGTCTTGCACTCGAAAAGTTCAGTGATCCCAGCGATGCTGGTCTTTGCTTGCTATCGTTTTTGAAAAGGGTTAGCAAGGCGTGCATGCACTTGATGTTTCATGATGGGAAGTGTGTACATACATCTGGTATATAGTATCAACATTGTGTTTCGATGTTTTGTCTGCCATGTTGGATGTTAACCTCCAAGACATGCTCTGGATCATGGCTTTCTGGGAATCTTGGACCAACTCTCGGCATTTTCGAGCGGCTGCTGTGCTGGGCACTGTTTCTCGTGGTGTCTTGAGACAAACAATTGCCTTTCCAGGCACTCTACAACTCAATGTTCATCCTATGGATCCCAAGTGTCCACACCACCAAACAGGCTGGGCGGAGGTGTCCCCCGCTGCGCCGTCGGCCGCCTGGTGTCCACAGCAGCCGCGATATGCGGTCGCCCCAATGACCAAGTCACACCAAGTTGTTGGTTGTGTCGGTTGATTGACTGCGTTCAACAGTATTAGACGCTACTAGGAACAAAGGGCATCGCTACTAGGAGCAAGGACGCTACTAGGGGCTCCTGGCATCGCTACTAGGAGCATTCTTACTACTAGTAACAAGAAGCTACTAGGAGGAACAACATCAAATCCACCGCCAAGGCCTCTGGCGATGGAAGGGTCTGATTGCCCACCCAGCTTTTCGGTGGATGAATAGTTCTAGGTTTCGGTGGATGGTTGAAAGTAATCTCACTTTAGGTTTACCATGGCTTACCAATAACAAACATGTTGAAGAATGCTCTTCCCAGAAACAGGGTTCGAACAATCGTTTGTTTTGACTCTTGTGGGTCTGCAGAGTTTTGGCAATGTGCAAAGCAATTACACGTGATTAAAGCCGTGTGTCGTATAATGTTCTTACGCTCCTACTTACGCTCGGTCTACTTATGCGAACACAATGTGAGCTTATGCGCAAAGGAAGGCCCCTGAAGACCTTACACACATCATATGCATATATATATATTTCGTATATTTTCAGCCCAGCAGATTACCCTTCTCAGGTGTTTGCGGATGCCCAAGTTCCATATTGTGACAGGTCATTACTTAGGCCATCGCTCTTAGGTTAGAGACCATCGCTATTAGGCTCCACATTATGGGCGGTTGGAGGCCATTTGCGATGGTCTTACTCGGCCATGTCGACCGCCCTCATCCACTCTCCTCAACCCACCTTGGGCGCCATGAAGCCTAAGATCTTGGTACTCACCTCACGTCGGGGCCTTCGGTCGATTCGGTCGGGCCATGGTGACCACTTGGTCGACTGGTCACGGGCCTGAACATGCCTGAACTACTCATAAAACGTATCCCAAAAAAAACATTAAGTGCCAAAATGTGCCAAGTAGTAAGGTGCCTTGCTACTAGTAGCTATTTGCTACTAGTAGCAATGCCAGGAGCTACTAGTAGCTTCTTGTTACTAGTGCCAAAATGTGCTGCACAGTCACGTCCAAAGAGTCCAAAGAATCGAAAATGACTCATGGAGTCAAATGCATCTCAAATCGCCTGAGGAGTTCCTCCTCCAGGACTTTCCTCTTAGGGGTCCTAAGAACCGAAAAATACCCAAGCGATGCGCACGACGGGTCTGAGGGTTTGGCCAAGACCCCCAACAGGTTCTTTAGCGTCTCCGTGGCCACTTCCTGAGCGTCGAAACGGAACGAAAACATGTTTGAGATTCTTTAAGAACATATTGGATTGAATGGTTAAGTTATATAATTACATCCTTTAATATGACATAATATATGCGCTAACTTTGTAATTACATGCTATGTATCTTGACTTTGCAACTCTGCCAGTTTTCCGCTCACATGCCGCGACGCGTCTGAACCCAGCCTCAAGCTCACAATCCTGGTCATCGGAGCCACGCTTGATGAATTGCAGCATCAGCCGAAGCACCATGAGCCTCGGTCGATGTCCATAGTGCCATAGTGAGGGAAACTTCATTCTAGAAACATGGACCGACACGCCTCAAGTAGATGGCACTGAACTAGTTCCAACAGCCAACAGCAAATGAAGATTCATGTCTGTGTGGTCATCACCCTACAAAATGGGGGGTGATTATGCAAGCCCTCACATCTGGACATGGGATTGGACTGGTCAGTGTCCAAGACCGTCCAAGACCCTTTTCACCAATTCGTGGTCCTCTGTCAAAAACTTATCCATAGAGGACCAATTCCGCACAGAGTTTGCTCCAGCTTTGTGATGTGACCCCTTTTTGAGTGTTACCAGGCTTGTATCTGTTTGGGAAGCAACGTCACACAAGCTCATCTTCTGCACAAACTGATATAGTCTGTCTATGTCTCAGCCATCCGCCAAAGTTGTCCGAAGCAGTCGTGCCTGGAGCGAAAAATCATTGCGCAACTGAAAGGAGCCAAGTTTAAACACATCGATCTCCAAGTGTTTGGTGGGGCTCTACTTCTACCATCGTCTACCCTACCAGGCCCTACCAACCTGTGATGTTTGCCCTTGTCCGCCGTGGACTGCGTTCTGTTCTTTTCTCGCCACGGAGGCTTTAGGGAGTCAACTTCTACCTCTTCCTTGGTAGAAACACTGCCCAGTTTCAGCAAGCACTTGGGAGGAAGTGAGCTGGTTGCCAAAGTGGTTGCCAATTAAAGGCCGGCACAGGTCCGGTGGTGAGAGTGTCATACTTTTCCTCACAATTTTGGGGGTCCGAGAGTCACGCTGCGAACGATTTCAGTCATCATCAGCACAATAATATATAAACCATTACAAACCTGCAGAAATGAAACGACCAACCGTTTCCATTGACCAAAGGCATTGAGCTTCACAATCCAACTCTATGTTCCACACCTCTGCAAGGTCTGCAAATTCTGCAGAAAGAACTTCGACACCAAGGACACCGCTTCACGGACCACCTGCAGAGCGGCTGCCACGCACAACCAAGCGTACCATCAAGAGTCTCTGTTGATATATACAACTTGAATCAACTATAATCAACTTCATATGGTCTTACGTTCTCTTGGTTTTGATGTTTTTGTTTGATACAGTAATTACACCCGAATCGGGTCATACCAGATTGTTCTCTAAGATTCACGAGATGGGTCCAATTCAGAGTCTTTCCCGCGCGGACTTCCCGACACCGTGCGCAGCCTTCAAAGGTGTCTGTGATGTGATTGGTCCGGTCAGGACTGACACCTCGGACGGAGAAGGACATCAATCTGCCAAAGCATCGCAGAAAGAGATCTCAAGGACCCCGAATCCACCCTTCATTCATGGGCCGGGGGTCGAGCTAAGGGACATGGGCGGAGACCTTTCTGGAGTGGAGAAGTCATTTTCTGGAACGGCAAGGCATTCGTCTGTTGCCTTCTTCTGCGGAGCGTTTCCTTCGGTCTTCAGAGGAAGCGCCAATGGTGACACGAGAAATCGAAGCTGAAGCCCACGGGAGCCAATCTGGAGATCCAAAAGTTGTCGAAGGTCACCCCGACATGCTACCTCCCCAACAAGAGTTGCTGGACCTTCATGTGATTGTTCTCAACTGCCAAGTCCAACGCCGTTTTGCCAGGGGGAGTGACTGCGTCTGCCTCCATAGACAGCTGTGCCATGACAGGATAATTGTCAGCCAAATGAAACTCCGAGTTCCAAGGTTCTGTGACCTTGTGTTTGTCAGCCCCAGCCTGGAGTAACAATTGCACAACTTCGATGTGGCCAAACAGAGCTGCTAAATGCAAAGGTGCATTCCCAAAAGAAGCC